CAACAGGAAAACAGGGAGTTTACCTACATTGAACTCTTTTGTAGAGACTCTTTTGCCGATAGTCCTAAAATCAGCCATGGTGAGGGTTTCTGGAGAAGCTTAGTTAAGACTTTTGGTGGAGGAGGGGGTGCCCTACATCTGTAAATTAAATAGACAGAAACAGTTTCTACAGGCCCTCACTGTGGCAGAGAGTTCATGTTGCTCAGGGTAACAGAAGAAACTTGGAGGCATCCTTTCCTTCCAGTTTCAAGGCTGAGTCCTCAAGACCTGAAATTGCCAGGAATGTGACTTCCATATAAGGGCAGAGGGAGGAAACGTCAGGGAGAACCGTGTCCCTTTCCTCGCCCTTTCTCCTTAACCAGTCTCTAACACTGTGACTGGCAGGAGTTTCTTGTAGACAGCGCCTAGTCGAGTCATGGTTTGTTCTTTTTTTCTGTTATCTTTTAGCTCATGCTCACCATCTCTGTCTTCTAATTGGTGTGTTGAGACCAAAAGTAGGCTAACTAGGGTCCATGGACTGAATCCAGCCCACTGCCTAGTTTTGAAACAAAATAATATGTAATAGAGATTGTATTTAGCCCACAAAACAAAAATGGTTAGCATAGAAACTTTAAAGGAAAAAAAAAAAAAACCCTATTGACCTCCAGTTTAGACCATTTACATTTAATGCGATTTTCAATATGTTTGGATTTAGGCCTCTATGCTATTTTGTTCTTCAGTTTGTCCTTTCCTATTTCCTTTTGGGTTATTTGAACATCTAATAACCTAATCTCTTTATTAGCACTAGAGATTGGACCCCATGGGAGTTTAACCACTGAGCCACATCCCCAGCCCTATTTTGGATTTTATTTAGAGACAGGATCTCACTGAGTTGCTTAGCACCTTACTATTGCTGAGGCTGGCTTTGAACTGGTGATCCTCCTGCCTCAGCCTCCCAAACAGCTGGGATTACAGGCAAGCGCCACCAGGACCGGCTTCAGCTTAATTTTTGAAGGATATTTATACTGGGTATAGAATTCTTCTTTTATATAATCAAAATAAATTTTTATTTGTAGATGGACACATATCTTTATTTTATTTATTTTTATGTGGTACTGAGGATTGGACCCAGTGCCTCACGTATACAAGGAAAGCACTCTTCCACTGAACTATAGCCCCAGCCCCTGGGTATAGAACTGTAAGTTGAGAACATAGGTTTGGGGACACCAGAGGTTGGGAAAAAGGATAAAACCAACATTGGTTTGATGGCACTTTAAATTGGTGTCTTCTCCTCTGATCTGCCTGCTATTATTTACTTTTCAGAGTCCTTAAATAATGACTCTGTGCATTCTGTCCAGCTTTTACAACTGGTTTCAGCTGGAGAGACAGGATGGAATGTACTTACTCTGGGTTACCCAGAACCAAAACCCTCTCTTCATCCTTTAGTACTTTTCAGTTAGGAAGAGTAGTAATTTGATTGCCAGAAACTCATTTCTTCTGGTCAATCTTTACAAATAATGGGCTCCCTATGCTAAAGGAATGCACTAAACCCCGTTGTTCCTGACCTGCTTGCACAAGGGACAATGAGCCCTGGCCTTCTGGTCACTATCGGGTAAACCCCTAGGGCAGGCCCAGAATGTCTTCCAGGTACAGCTCTAGCCATAGTCCCATGTCTTTTTCTTTCTTTCTTCTTTTTTTTTTTTTGAGGTGGGAGTACCAGGAATTGAACTCAGGGGCACTCCACCACTGAGCCCCAGCCCCATCCTATTTTGTATTTTATTTAGAGACAGAACTTCACTAAGTTACTTAGTATTTCACTTTTGTTGAGGCTGGCTTTGAACTCGCAATCCTCCTGCCTCAGCCTCCCCAGCGGCTGGGATTACAAGCATGCGCCACTGCACCCAGCTTCCCCTGTCCTTTTCCCTGACAACATCCAGAGAATGTGAGGTTCACCTACAGTTTTCACAGATCCGGGGGGAAGTCAGGGTTTGCTTTGTGGAGCAACTGTGCATGGAAAAACCCAACTTCTAGCTGAGAGGAGAAAATAGAAGGACCCCATTCTGACCCCAGCTTCAAAACTATCCTCCAATCCAACTTTGTCAAAAAGTCTTCAACCCTTGGGGTTTGGCTCCTACCTGATCCATTAATTAGTTGGTACTTCTTTTCCATTAGCCTTTAGAGCCCTAGGTAAAGTGCCTCCGTCCAGTAGACTCCTGTGTCACAGAGGATAAGAGACAAAACTCTAAATCAGATAATTTAATTATTATTAATTATAAATGCAAATGCCAATTTCAGGATAAGCTAGAACCAGGAACTGAAACAGGACTGTGTATTTCTCAGTTCTGCTCTTCTTCACAATGGCTTCAGTCTTAGACTATGTGATAGCCCCAGGAGCTCAAGACTCACGTCATTTGAGGCTTTTTTTTTTTTTTTAGTTATAGTTGGACACAATACCTTTATTTTATTTATTTATTTTTACGTGGTGCTGAGGATCGAACCCAGCAGCTTGCTCTTGGTAGGCAAGCGCTCTACTGCTGAGCCACAACCCCAGCCCCCATTTGAGGCTTTTAAAAGAAGAACATTCATGCCACAGTTATTTAACTCTCTCTCTCTCTCATGTTGGACATTAGTTTGTTCACTTTTTCACAATCATAAAATATATTATGAATACCTCTGTGCACACATTAGGTTGATCTATATTAAATTGCCAATGCTCAACATTTTGACTTCTAAAAATGAGTTCCTAGGGCCTAACCTTGTTGGTTTTTAGTATTCTGGATTATTCCGTGGTTAAATTTTCAGAGTTAGTTGTCTGGAGCAAAATTTAATTACTTTCCCTACCAGTTCTACAAATACATATTCTCATATAAACAAACTTTGGGTCTTACTTATTATTTATTCAGTCTTTATACTTTGATAGATACTTGCCTATATTCCCCATCTTCACTCTGTCTTCCCAGCCCTTTATAGTGTCATGAGGCCATTGCTCAGAAAACACTCTAAGTTCAAATTAAAAGTCAATTCAAGGATTTTTATTATCTGGCCAGAGACTGTCCCTCACTGAGTCCAAGTGACTATATGGGAGAATAGCCCTAAGCTGTTTGTGGCCAGAGTATTTAAGGAAGAAAACCAGAGGGTATGGATCTGCAAGTTGCAAGCAAGCCAAATACAGGAGCTGAGAAAGCAGTTAGCAGAGCAAAAATAGACAACCACATCCTGGGTTCCAGCACATTTGTGGGCACACATCCTGGGTTCAGGTACATTGTATGAAATACAAAAAAACAATTTTCTTAATATTATCAAAACCGCCTACTTGGGCTGGGGTTGTGGCTCAGCAGTAGAGTGCTTGCCTAGCACTAGTCAGGCCCTGGGGTGGATCCTCAGCACCACATAAAAATAAATTAATAAAAAAAATAGGTATAGTGTCCAACTATAACAAAAAAATAAAATATTAAAAAATTTTTCAGGGCTGGGGATGTGGCTCAAGTGGTACTGCGCTAAACTATCATGCGTGAGGCACTGGGTTCGATTCTCAGCACCACATTAAAAAAAAAAACAAAATAAAGATATTGTGTCTGGGCTGGGGCTGTAGCTCATTGGTAGAGCGCTCCACTCCCATGTGTGAGGCACTGGGTTTGATCCTCAGCACCACATAAAAATAAATAAAGATATTATGTCCAACTACAACTAAAAAAAAGATATTGTGTCCACCTAAAACTAAAAAATAAATATTAAAAAAAATTTTTTTTTAAATAGCTTACACAACAAGTTCACAGAAGGGTTACAAAGATGGAGTCATTATGGCTATATCAATCTATATTTGTCTATGGCTATGCTGATTTAAACTTATTTATCTCTATGTTAACCTATTAGCCTATATTATCTATAACTATACTGGCCTACTAATTTACACTTATCACCTTACATCGTTTTATATCTTATTTCCTGAAGCTTATATCCTATGTCTTACAGTTACATAATTATCCTGCGATTGCTTATGCTTAATCCTGGTGAATTATTATTATTTTTTAAAAATATATTTATTTTGTTTATTTATTTTCATGTAGTGCTGAAGATTGAACCCACATGGGCGAGGCAGGCGCTCCGCCTCTGAGCCACAACCCCAGCCCCAATCCTGGTGAATTATGTTCTAGGCTTACTTCTACTTATTACTAGGGCAGTTTAACATTACTTATCTCATAGTACTCATTCCTATTATCCTATTGTATTTTATCTTACTTATTCTGCTTATCAATATCTTATACCTATAATCTGTATTGATCAGACTTAGACCATAACAGTACTCTGTCGTGGCTCATAATACATTCTTCTACATCGTGTCTGTATGTGTATGTGTTTTTATGTACTTAATAAAAAAAAAAAGGAACTAATTACGATTCCGGAAGGACTAGAACAATCGCTTTCGGTTTTGTATCTCCTTGGTCTGGTGCCTCGTGCCTTTCACTCATTCATTCAAGAAACATCTTCTGGATTTACACCAGAGAACAGTAACTGTGAAAGGTGCAATAGGAATTTTAAAAGTTCACTGCACTGAGCACTGCCTGTTTCAAATATTCTTTTATTACACCAGTAGGTCTCATTTAACATTCATGCCCGCGTTTTAAATTCCACCTTGCGACCTTCCCACGTCAACGGCACTCTGATCCGGGAACAAAAGCTCTGAAACGTTAGCCTTTAAGTGTATTGAGTGTGTAAGCGCCGTTCCCGTGGCCCAGTTAATAATCCCTTAAAATGCACCCCAGAGTCACATTTGGGGGGACTTAGGACCAGCCAGTTAACCAGTAAAACACACGGCAGTCTGGAGGTCAGGGACTTTTCACCGGGCTGAGGAGGGCGGCGGGATCATTAAATGCAGGATCAGGAACATGCAAACCCTGGCAGCAACAGGGTCCAGCCGGCTCTGCACCGCCCTCGCGGAAGCCCAGTGGGGGCGGGGCTTCGCCTCGCCCCGCCCCCGACGGGCGGGCCCCGCGCTGCCGCGTACGCTCGCTCCCGCCTTCGGACTCGAGTCCGGGTCCGCGCGGGAACGCCATGAGCGCGCGCCCGGGCCAGTGACCCTCTCGGGGATGGACTGCGGCTCGGTCGCGGGCGAGAGACCGAAGCACTCGCTGAGCCGCCGGCGGCTCCTGCTCTTCCTGCCCTCGGGCCGCGGCGGAAGCCTAGGCGGCCGCGGAACCCCCACGCGCCGCTACGTTTCCCTGCTGCCCTGCGGGCTGGGGTCGCTGCGGCCCCGCGCCGCTGGGGCCCGCGGGGGCCCGTCACGTGCGGCCCCGCTGCTCCTCCTCCTGCTCGTGCCCTCCCCGCGGCTGGTCGCCGCCGCCCCGCGCAGGCCCCTGGCCGACTGGGGGCGCTCGCGTCCTGGCCCCGCCGTCCCCGCGGCCGGGCGCGGCGGCGCGTGGAGGTGCGCGCTGGGCCGCGCGGGCGCGGGCGGCGCCCTCCACCTGGGCCGCGGCGTGGCGGCCGCGCTGGCTTCCTGCAGGCGAGGTGAGTGCCGGGCCGGGCGGTGCCCTGGGGGAAGGCCCGGCGGCGCGCAGGGTGGGTCAGCCGAGGTCCCGGCCGCCTCGCGCTCGCGGGCGAAGGTCTGGCCCGCCCTCGAGGACGCAGTCAGCGAGCTGGGCTCAGCGCCCGGGAGTCCTGGGCAGCGGGCGCCTGCCCGGACGAACGGCGGCCCCGGGAGCGCGCTGCGCGTTCACCGGGAGGGTCCCGCGCCCGGCGCCTCGGATGGGCTGCGCCTCCCAGCTCGCACCTGGAGGCGCGGGGGGCGGGGGGGGGGGAAGCTGGGCCGAGTGCAGGGCGCGTGCGCGCGTGGGGGCGAAGCTCGGGGAGGGCGGGGGGTTTGACAGCTCGAAGCTTCATTCACGGAGCTCTTGCGCCTGGGGATTTAGCAATCAAAAATCTTTCCTCTCTGGAGCTTCATTCCAGCAGTGGAGATGCCGTAAACGTGTGTGTACCTAACCCTAACCCTAGACTTTTTGCATATACCTGGATTTTAATTTGATAAGTGCTACAGGAAAACAGTAGCGGGGAAAGAGTTGGGAAGTGGGGTGGGTCTCCAGTTTTGAATTTAAGCAGTGATCAATCACAGTCGGCTTCATTGAGGAGATAGCATTTTATTAAGGAGGTGAAGGAGGAGATCCTATGTGAGAACAGGAAAGTTAAACAGGCTGGAATTTGCTGAAAACAAATTGCTGATAAAAATATAGAGAGAGTATTCAACAAACTTGGTACACATATCACTTGGGATAATCTATACATTACCTATTAATGGCCATCAAGAACCGCACCTTTTTTTCATATTTTTTTCAATAGCAATGTCCGATAAACATTGGCTGCATCTCAAATTTAAGAATAGCGTTGGCTGGGGGAGAAGCTGATTATTAGAGCAACAAAGCAAGGGAGTTTGTGCGCAAAGGGTGGGAAGGAGTACTGAACTCTCAGCGTCCTGCAGTGATTAGGAGCAGTATGGGTAGGTTTGGTCTTTATTTCTGTATTTGTCTTTTGGTTGCTCTTATTTTGATAAACGGATAACTTCCGATCTGGTCTCCTCTCATAATTTGAGACTGTGGGCAAGAGAGTTTCTTTGTCCTAGGCTTGCTATCATTGTGCCAGCAAAGTGGTACTGTTGTTATGGTGTCAAAGCTCTCATTCGTCAAGAGTCTTAAAAATAAGGGTAAATGCATCAAAGCAAGGAAACAGAACAGAGACAGGGTTAAGGAAGCATGTTTGCCCACTAGCCATCTGTTAATGAGCAGTTTGGGTTTTTTTGTTTTTGTTTTTTTTTTTTCCTGTCCAGTGATTGGCTTGCCAGCCACTCCCCCCAACCTCTTAGCAGGTCACGTTGAGTAGGAAATTCATACCTGACTAACCTTGGGCTTCTTTTGTAATTGTGGGTTTTTAATAACCTTTTGATATGCTAAACATCTCCTGAAAGGAGAATTACCTATTAACACTTTAACTCAGCTGATTCACTTGCTCCTTGGTTATCTGTGGGCTTTCAGAGCACTGTGTCCTCAGGTGCTGACCTTTGACAGAAAGCAAGATGGCATTCCCTTCTCTCAGCAGGGCTGAGTGCCAGTGGAGAGGTGGCCAGCCCTTTTCTCCACTTTTCAAAAGGCAATGTTTCTTTCAAAAAAGCTTGCTGTGTCTGGTTCCAGTCATTTTTGGAAAAGAAAAAACATAAAGGTCTGCAATGTTCATATCAGCTTTAGCTTCTGCTTAGAAAATAGTGGCATGGTTATTTGCTTTATGGGTGTGGGTGTGGTAGGAGGTTATGTTTTAAATTGCATGAATTATTTTGTTATTAGAGACAAGGAATTTGGGACCAGAATAACCCTGTCACTCTTCACAAGCCATTCTAGAAGTCCTGTGTTCAAGATCCCTGACCCATGGGACAGCCCAACAGAGTTTAAGGTGGGTGAGGTGGCCTTAGAGGGCCCCTTGAGAAGTGTTTCGTCCATTCATTTACTTGCCACTGTCCCTGGAGGGCAGATCTTGGTCTCTTATCAGGGCCAATTCCAATCTCAGGGCTGATGGAGACATATGATGAGAAAAGAGGTACCAAATTTAAGTGAGCTTATTTATGAAAAGGGAAGAAATGAGGTGAAGAGGAGAAAGGAGTCAATCCCAGAGTTTCTAAACAGTCTCATAATCTAGTTCTTAGAAGCCATTACAGTTCAGTTACAAAAAGTTAAATATCTCCCTCCGTTTGCAGTTTGCCAGGCCCTCCTCAGGGCGTCTGCTAGATGCACAAGATAAAAAATGAGTCAGACTGGGTATTCTTGGGCAGCTTGACTCATAGATGGTGCACTGTGGCAGGAAACTCGGTGCTGTCCCAGAGCCACGTGTACAGGCTGAGAATACCAGGAGCAGTAAGGCTGCTCCCCTATCTGGGTGGAGGAAGCAGAGAGAATCATAAAGTGAAACGTAATGCAGGCCTGGAACATAACGTATGCTTAATAAACTGCCCAGTTAAAAGAGAAGCGTGTGAAAGGATGCTAACAGTGTAACAGGTAGGAGAGGAAAGCACGCCAAACTTAAGGCATGGAGCAGCGTAGGTGCCAAGCTGAAAGGATAGCGTGGCTGTAATGGGAAGAAGGGCTCGCGCTCCTGGGCAAGCGCCTTGTGCTCAGAACAGCTCCACTTTGAATGAAAGGGTCGGTTTTTACCATCAACACAGGCACCAGTGCCTTTTCTATTCTGTCTCAGCAAGCAGTGCTGATACAAACGTCATTACATCTCACGCTCATTTCGGAGCCGACCATGACCATTGCTGCTCTCCTCCCAAACTGCCAATGGTTTGCTAACAATTGCTGTAGGCGGCAGAGAAGTGTCAGATCTGTGGGGTCTTGTCCATGTCACATTTTACCTCCTGTGGTTGTCATAGACCATTTAGGAGTGAAGGATGGAGAGTTGTAGTTGATTGGCTCAAGTATCTTGCTGGTCACTCAGGCCACTAAGGAAACCTTTGATCTCTGAGTTAGCACAGGGCTCCTACTTTCTTGCCACTCCTACAGCACCCCGCCTCAGACTAGCACCAGTCCATGGCATAGTTAGAAGAGGAAAGACACATAATTTAAATTTAAATTAAATAAAATTCTTTATTTAGATTGTCCACTCTTTTTCTCCCCTTTTTTGGTGTCAAGATTTTTTTTTAATATGATGGTAATAAGAAGCTATTATATTGAAATGTTTTTGGTTTTGTTTTAGTTTTAGTTTTTGGTTTTGTTTTTGTACTGGGATTGAACCCAGGGGCATTCTACCACTGAGCACCCCAACCCTTTATATTTTTTATCTTAAACTTGGGATCCTCCTGCCTCAGCCTCCCAAGTCGCTGCTGGTATTATAGACATGCACCTCTGAACCCAGCTAAATGTCCTTTCTCGACAGAATTTTAAAACTGTTTTAGTAGTTCATGAAATCCAGAAGCCAAGAAGCCATTTCAGTACTGTGTAACCTCCCTCGGATAAAAAGGCCTTAGATCTGCTGTTAAATGTATCACGATTCATCAAAAAGATAGCATGAAGAATGTTAGAGCTCGTCTCTCTAAGGACAGGCTTTTGCAAAGACACCACAAGAAAACTACAGAAAAATATTCTCTATGAATATAGATAGAAAAAGCCTCAACAAAATACTATCAGACAACATATAAAAAAATATTATGTACCATGATCAAGTGGGTATCTCAGGGATGTTAGATCATTTAACATCTTAAAGTCAATTCATGTTATATTACCTCATTAATAGAATAAAAGTCAGAACCCACAGGATCATTTAACAGAGAAAGAACATTTGTAATATTTAACACGCTTTCATGGTTTTCTTAAATTTTATTTTTACAAAACAAAACCTCAATAAAATACGAATAGAACCTGATAAAAAGCATCTACAGAAAGTCCGCCACTAATGTCGTATTTAATGGAAAAAGCCTGTATACTTCTAAGATCAGGAACAAGGAAAGGGAACCTGCTTTGCTCTTCTATTTAACATCCTACTGGAACTTCTGGCAGGGCAGCTAGGCAGGAAAATGAAATAGAAGGCATCCAGGTTGGAACAGAGAAGTAAAGTTCTCACTGTTCTCAGACGACGTAGATCTGTGTGGAGAAAGCCTTAAGGAATCCATTGAACTGTTAGAATGAATAAACCAGGTCAGCAGGATTGCAAGATCAGTGTGCACAATAGTTGTGTATTTATGTACCAGCAATAAACTGTCTGAAAATGAGAGTGAGAATGATTCCATGTACAATAACATAAAACAAAATAAAATACTTAGAAATGAATTTGACAACAGTCATAAAACACTCAGAAAACTAAGAAGCATTATCGAAGAAATTAAAGGCCTAAATAAATGGGAGACTTACCATGTTTATTGATCTGAATTCTTAATATTATTGAGGTGGCAGTACTTCCTAAATTGGTCTATAGATTTAACACAGTCCCTCTCAAAATCTCAGTTGGCTTTTTTGCAGAAATTGACAAGCTTATCCTAAAATTCATATGGAAATGCAAGGAACCTATAATAGCCAGTCTATCTCAAAGAAGAGCCATGTCCAAAATCCACTCACATCAGAATATATGAAGAATTCTTACAGCTCAGTGATAATAAGACAAATAACCTAATTAAAAATAGCCAAAGTAGGGGACTGCGGTTGTGGCTCAGCGGTAGAGCGCTCGCCTTGCACTTATAAGGCGCTGGGTTCGATCCTCAGCACCACATAAAAATAAATAAAATATTGTCTCCAACTACAACTAAAAAAATATTAAAAAAAAATAGCCAAAGTACTTAAGTTGGCATGTCTCTAAAGAAGATGTACAGATGGCCTATAGGCACACAGACATCAACATCATTAGCCATCAGGGAATGAAAGTCAAAACCGCAAAGAGAAACCACTTATACCCACTAGGATGATAACAGTTTTAAAAACATTATAACAAAGGTTAACCAGCATGTAGAGAAAGTAGAAGCCTCCTCCCCTCCTGGAGAAAAGGTGAGGTAGTACAGTGCTTTGGAAAACAGCCGCAGTCTCTCAGACTCAAAGAGCCCTCATATGATCCAGCACTTCACTCCCAGAGTTGAAAACACAGTGGCCATGGAACTATTCATTATAGCCAAGAAGTGGAGACAACCCATGTCCTTCAGCTAATGAGCAGATAAACAATATTTGGTACAGCCCTAAAATGGAATATTACCCTAGAATATAAAGAAAGTCCTGGTGCCTTCTACAGCATGGATGGCACTAAGGGAACAAAGCCATTCCAAACTTCCCATGTAATTCCATTTGCATGGGATTGTCTCCTGCCATGTGGGTGCAGGGAAGGACTGAAGGATTGGCCCTGAGGGCTGAAGGGTCAAGCAGGTATTCTAAAGGTGAACGTGGATGAGCAACTCTATAAATAAAAGCAATTGAATTTTACATTTTAAATGGGTGGATTCTATGGTATATGGAATCTATCTCCTTAAAGCTTATGAAAAACCAGATAGTCAGGGTGTTGGTGTGGTTCAGTGGTAGTGCCCACCTGGCACACCAGAGGCCCAGGTTTCCATCCTCTGCACAACAAACAGAAACACGGCAGTGGCTTTTGGGTGAGCCTTGTTAGATTGAGGATGCTGAGCTGCTTTTGTTTACTGTTACCCCAAAGCCTGGCTCCTTTTTCTCTCTCAGACTTGTGAACCAATCTCCACCAAGCACTGATGGAGCAGTAAGAGAGACGTTTACTCTTGGCCCAGAATGGAGGTGACAGATATCAGAACTCCCCTTCCCACACCCTGGTGTGTGTGGCTGTGGGGCGGGAGAAATCTCTCTCCCCCTGTCTCTTGCCCCCTTCTCTATGTGGGCATATATATCCATATGTCTGTATATTATTTATATATATATATATATAATATATATATATATATATATATATATAGAGAGAGAGAGAGAGAGAGAGAAACAGAGGGGAGAGACATGCTAATCAAGGGAAGGGGTGTTCTTGGGTTTTCTGGGAATGGGCGTGGGTCTTCCAGGTATTCAGGCACCACTTTTTGCTTCTTTTCTGGCTCTTTTCTGTTGTCATTGTCATGGCATTTGTCTGCTGTCATGGCCTGGGGGTGTCATTTAGCATGCAGTTGGAATTATAGTGACATTAGAAGTTGACTGAGGGACTCTAGCAGCCATCTCTATCTAGCCAGTTTCAGCCAGCCACCTGAAGAGGGACTTCTGTCCTTCAGGTATCCTGACCTCAAAAATAAGAAGATTGTGATGGGTTGGAAATTCAGCAGGGTCACCAGGCCTGCAGCTTAGGGGGAGGCCACATTGTTCTGACCCTGCTCTCCTTTCCATTCCAGAGCTGAGCCTGTCTACGGGGTGCCTGCAGCTGGAGCACAGGACAGAGTTCACCTCCTCTGGGATTAGGAAGCTCTACTTTGACACCCATGCCTTGGTGTGCCTGCTGGAAGAAAATGGTAATCCCCTTACCCCCCTGAGTGCCCTAGAAGACCACAGTGAACAGTGACCTCCCGTGTTCCATTCACTTTCACACGTTTCTCTTCAACTCAAGTCTACAAGTGACCTTTCCATCAGTCTCCTTTTTAGGTCATTGTTCTTTTGTTTTGTTTTGTTTGGGTTTTAGTTTTGTTGTTGTTGAAGGACATTTTTGCTTCATCAATACACTGGAGACTTCCTCCACATTTTCCCTTTGTCTAGGTGAAGTGCATTTTTATAACATCACCATGAAAGTTTAGTGTTATAGATAAGACTTAGATACAAGTTAGCAAAGCTCAAGAGTGATTTCTGACAGTGGGACTGTAGCACAGCAGTGACAGTCTCACCACTGTGCATCCTGTGTGCCTATTAAAGTTTTGTAAAATGGAAATGTTGCTGAGCAGCAATTATGGATTATTTTAACTTACTGTTCTTTTTTCTTTTCAATATTCAAATTAGCAATTTCACTTATTGCTCTGGCATAGATAGCATTCATTGAAGGTGCCCTTAGAATATGGGGAAACATTCTCATACATGATTATATTCAGACAAATATACCAATTGTGATTCTCTATTCTGTGGCACACATCTTCTCAAAACCAGAATTCCAAATTCACATGGATTATGCTTTGAAAATAAACATATCTGTGTTTTTACTTCATTGGGTAAAGTTGCACATGTTTACATTTGAGAAGCTTCTGTCTGTAATGTGCTTCACATGCCTAAGTCAGGATGGTAGGATGAGTTGTTCTGTGCCTGTGGTGGTGTCCAAAGCACAGGGTTCAAACCCCGCCTCTGCCAGCTTCTACTGACATAACTGTAATGAAATGAAACTTCTTCGTTTTCATTTGCTCCTCTGTAGCATGAGTCTAATAAGAATTCCAAAGAACTTTTTGAGCACTTAAATGAAATAATGTCCATGAATGCAATTTGGTAAAACCATTAAGTGCTATATAACGTGTTTCACAACTTTTTTTGTCAGACTTTAAAGATCAGTGTCTGAGGACCCTACCTCAGTGTCTGAGGGCCTGTGGAAGGGGCTTTTCCCTGGATGGGGAGGGGCTTCAAATGACTGGCAAGGGTGGAGCCCAGGGAGGCTCTTAAATGAACACTCTGTGCTCTCTTTCTCCAGAACCTATCCCCTGATTAGCAGAACTTCCTAGAAGTCTGCTATCTGACTGTCCCAAGTGTGTCCTGTTCTCTCATTCTTGCAAATTGCACCACCTAACTCAATAGGTTTAAAGCTTAACTTTCGCTTTTTCATATCCCTTTCTTCTCCCACGGGTGGTTATTAACTGTTTGGCTTTGGTTTTGTTTTATCATCTGTGTAAGTTCTATATCTCTTTTTCTTCCTTTTTAAATAAATTTATTTTTAACTGATACATAAAAAGTACACATTAATGGGATGTCCACCATGCGGCCTGCGCATTGGTTTCATTAATGAGGTTCGTGGCATAAAAGTTAGCTAGCAGAGATCGAAATAAAACACACAGACTCAGTTACCTTTTTCTATGACCAGGTCCGAGACGGCTCCCCTCTCTGGCTCCAACCTCGAACCACCCGTAGGGCAGCAAGGATTACTCAGGGCTAGCAGGAGAGAGAGAGAGCGAGCACGCCAGGGAGTAGCCTTTTATTGGGGAACAAGAAATTCAGGGGAGAATTCCATCCAATGAAGGTTGAGGGGGGGGGGCCACACTCCAAGGTCAGGGTCAGTGATTGGGGCCCCGGGGTCAGTGGTCAGTCACACCCCCACACTGACGGGTTCTCTCATCAGGAGAGGGCCGGGAAAGTTCCGACACAGCCAGAAGCCTCAAACCCAAACCGGGAGTCGCCCAGTCACGCATGAGGATGGCTCTCCACATATTCCCCCTTTCTATTCTTAAAAATGAGGCGGCGGTTCACTCTTTGGAGTTTCTGTATTCTTGTTCCGAAGACTCGCCATCCTATAATTACAACACAAAAGAGAATTAACAGCAAAGAGAATAATCCAATAATGTACCAGGCCGAGTGTTTAAGAATATTTCCAGGGTTGAATCCATTCAACTCCTTCAATATTTGGTTTGCCAAAGAAGAAGGATCTGAAAAATCAGCTCTATTATTTTGAATGTCTTGGATATGGTGATGAAGTTCCAGAATATCCAAGCTATTATTACTATTTTGCCAAATACCTAACAAATGGTTTTTAACCTTCTCCCAATCCCAGAGAGAAGCATTGTACTTGGCAGCTGTAACACAAACATACTTATAATTGGCATGGCATTTAAGCCTTTCCTTAAATTTTAAGGCTGAAAGTTCATTACCTATGTCTATAACAGTCGCCTCTAAGGCGTTTAATTTAGTTTCAGTCCTTTCATCAATATTTACTTGATTACACAGAGCCTTGGAAGTATTTTGAGCTAAATTATTAAGAAATTTTGCATGCTGAATATTTTGAGACAATGTCAGAGACGCAGAGACAGTTGAGGCAATAAAGGAGACTAGCGCCAAAACACCAACAATTATAACTCCAATAGCACGTTTAGGTCTTGCTAGCTGGGCATGAATTTGCTGCAAGACTTGTAAACCAGTATCAGCATACCATGGCTCTGAAATATTAGCAGGCAATAAAACGAAAGAGGGCTGATATAGTATCAGCACTCCTTTTCCTCCATTATACCTAGTAATACAATTGGTTAGGTTACATTTATTACAAGTAACAATATATCTGTCATCTATCCATTTAACTTTTACATTTCCAATAATTAAAACATAAGGAGATTGGACACAGGCTCGTAAGCCATAGCAAGATCCCTCTTTACAGTTCTTGCCAACAAATTTTGGTAAAGGTTTGTCTGTAAAATGTAAGAATTCTGAGGCAGCAATTAAACGCCAAACATCCTTTTGAACACCACCTTCACTATAAGTTAAAATATTACTAACAAATCCTGCAGGTGTCATAGCAGAATTTTTTCGTAATTGTCTCTCATCAATTTTTGGAGACCAGTCTAAAATATACCCACTATCTTTAGACACCTTATGTTGTACAGGAAAGGTATTTACACAATCCATCTAGGAAAGGTGCCAATCTCAATTGTAGAACTATTTGGACAGTGGGGTATCTGTGGAGGTTTTGCAGAAATGACTGGCTTGTTATGGGAAAGTCCCATCTTAATTACTGATCTAGTATAAGGTCTTAAGTCCCCATAAATAGAATTATTTGTCAGTCTAGGTCTGCCAATCGCTGTCTTTTCTTCGAATGATACTTTCAGACAGCCAGCATGTTTATCGTGTGACCAACACAAAGGTAATTGGGCACTGTAGCCAGAATAATTAAATCTAGTCACATGATTGGGGGTAATATGAGTATCTGTAAATCCTCCCATCATGAATGAGTCATTAGTAAATACTGGAATAGATTCTCCAGTCCACACAGCTGGGTGTACCAGGGGTGGATCTGGGAAATATGTCCAGTAAGTGTCTACTTGATCCCCCTTTACCTGACAGCCCAGCAGGGCAATTACTGTTGCTACCATCATCACTGGGGTCCTGTTCTCTCCTAGGTGTCGAAGTATTCGGGAAGCCTGGGTTGTTAGCTTCTTCACATCTTCCCATGAAATCAGCTTTTCGGCTGGGTCAATCTGGTCTTTCTTCATCCTTTTCCGATATCTCCTCCTTTTGGATAGGGGCTCCTCCGGGTCGATCCTCAGTCGCTTGAATCTGGGTTCTATCTCTTCCATGTCTAATAGCACGTTCAGGTACCCAAATAGGACGAAAAGAGCTTTCTGGGAAAATACAAGCATGACCTCTGCCCCACATAAGCACCGGATCTGGGCCTTTCCACTGACCAGTCTGTAAATCTTTCCACAAAACTCTGCCCAAAGGGCCTGTTACTGAGGGAGACATTTGCCTCTCAGCAGCAGTGTGACCTTCTGCGTCACAGTTTAAAAAAATTAAAACAAACAAAGCATGATTAAGGCTATTTTGGGGAGTCACAACCCTATTCCCCCCTTTTAATTTTTGTAATTGAAGCTTAATAGATAAATGAGCTCGTTCCACAATGGCTTGGCCTTGGGGGTTATAAGGAATTCCTGTTTTATGATTAATTTTAAACTCTTGGCAAAATTGTTGAAAAGAAGAGCTTACATAAGCTGGAGCATTATCCGTTTTAATCTGCATAGGGCACCCTAAAACAGAAAAAGCTGCTAGGCAATAAGAAATTATATGTTGAGTATTTTCCTTAGTACGTGCTGTGGCAAAAATAAATCTAGAATAAGTGTCCACTATGACATGCACATAACACTGCTTACCAAATTGAGGAATATGAGTTACATCCATTTGTCATATTTGCTTTGGTTTTAATCCACGGGGATTTACCCCTGATGGCAGAGATGGAGTGTGAATAACACTTAGGGCATTGGCTTACAATCTGACGAGCTTGTTCTCTAGTAATATTAAATTTTTTTATGTAAGCTAGAAGCATTTTGATGATGCAAGGAATGGGAAGCTAGTGCACAGTCATATGAAGACATCTGTTGACAAAAAGTTACTAATTTATCAATTTTGTCATTACCTGAAACTAAAGGTCCTGGAAGATTAGTATGAGCCCGTACGTGTGCTATGAAACATGGGTATTTTCGCATTAGCACTGCCTTTTGTAAATTATGAAATAATTCAAATAACTCTTGTGATGAAGTATACCCAATAACTGAAGTTTCAATGTTTTTACTAACTCCGACTGCATATAAGCTGTCAGAATAAATATTAATAGGCTCATTTGAAAAGTAATTTAAGGCACAAATCAGAGCTTGAAGCTCTGCTCTTTGGGCAGAAGTATAAGAAGTTTGTATTACCTCTGTGTGAACACGACTATAAAAACCTGCTTTACCTGAGTTAGAACCATCCGTGAACACCGATAAAGCTTCATCTATAGGATGTGCACGTACAATCTTTGGAAAAATAAGTGACGTTAAAGATGCAAATTGTATAATCTTATCACGAGGATAATGGCTATCTATCTGGCCAGGAAAATCAGCAAAGGCTATCTGCCATGAACTAGAAGTTTGAAAAAGCCAATTAGTCTGCTGAACAGAAAATGGAATGATTATGATATCAGGCTCAGATCCAATTAATTGTAAAATCCTAGTTTTGCCCTTAATTACTAATTGAGCTATAGAATCATGAAAAGGAATTAATGTTTTTTGAGGGGAGTGGGATAAATAAATCCACTCAATAACTCCTAATCTTTGCCATATGGCTCCTGTTGGGGTATGATCAGTTGGAAATATTAATAAATACACTATTTCTTTAGGATCAACTCTAGTAGCATGTTCAACTCTCCTTAAAGCTGTTCTAGCCTCTAAGGTCAGCTGGCGTGGAGAGGTTGGAGAGGGATTTCCTTGTAATATCTGAAATAAAGGACTTAACTCAGAAGTAGTTAGTTTTAAGGATGACCTCAGCCAATTAATATCTCTTAAAAGCCTTGAAAATCATTAGGGGTTTGTACGGAAACTGCTTGTTTCGCTCCGGTAAAATTAAAGACGGCGGCCCCCATGGTCGGCGCGATGACGTCACATTGCGCAACCATCACCTACTTCCTCATTCTCGGCCCGGGGGCGGGCCGACCAGAAGTTTGTGTTCCGGCCAGGCGGAAATGATGACAAGGCGGGCTCATCCGCGCCATCTTGATCCGCCACGTGGGGTTGAGTCCTGCAATATCTATTATCACCAGTAGATGGAGCCCTGAACTTAAAATTGCGCATGCGACACTCCCGCGCAAAATGATTATTTCTCCCGCAAACGTAACATTTTCCGCGGGGTTTTTGTGCTAAATCTTGTGGACTCAAAGTTTCCTTTAGTGCCTCGGCTAGGGCTATTGTCTGCAAATGGGTAGAGTCTATGTTAGAACATAAGCGAATAAACTCGGAAATTGTCCCTTTTTTACGGTGCGGCCTAAGAACATCTTGACAATACTTACTTGCATTTTCAAATGCCAATTGCCTAACAATGAACTCACTCGTCCCCGGGTTCCCGATCGACCTGTTTGCAGCCTGGTACAATCGGGCTACGAAATCTGAGTAAGGTTCACTCGCACCTTGCCTGATTTTGGTAAGAACTAAATTGGATTGGTCCTTAGGGACAATCTGCCTCCAGGCACGTTTCGCACAATCAGTTATTTGATTGTATACTACAAATTTATAATTTAACTGTCTTTTTATGTCAGTAAATTCACCTGTCCCTAGAAACATTTCTACTGGCGTTTCTATATCCTGTCTTTTGTTCTTTTCTGCCTGTTCAGTACAAAAATCAGTCCAATAAGTTCGCCAGATCAAGAAATCTCCCCCACTCAGGCAAGATCTAGCTAAAGAAATCCAATCACTAGGAGGAAGGGGCTGCGAGCAAATATTTTCTATCAGGCTCTGTACAAAAGGCGAATTTGGACCATACGTCTCACATGCACTTTTTAGTTCCTTAATGGTTTTAAATGGAATTACAGCATGAACTCTAACTCTCTGATCTTGCTCATTAACTTGCTCAAAAACTGGAAAAAGTTGGAAACCGCTAGTATCCTCCCCATCTTCCTGTGCTTTCTTAATACCTCGCTGGAACGGGGTAAGAAAAGTCATTGTTAATCCAGCGTACCTGTTAAATTTTGTCCTTTTAGCAGGCACTGGCCGAATTCGAATAGCCTGGGCAGGCGGTGTTAAACGCAGCCTGTTAAGATTTCTCTGTAAGTCCTGAATTTCAACGTCTGATTCTTCTCCCTCAGACTGTGATTCATGGTCAGACTCTGCGCTGTCGCCATTTTGAAATTGGGCTTCTAAGCCATGTGGCTGAGAAGAACTCTGTGCCCCTCTAGGAATCTCTTCCGGATTCTCCTCTCCAGGAAGATCCTCTACCTCTTCCGGAGGGCTTTCTAGGACTTCGGAGGTTTCTCCTCTATGATATTTGTCCCTATAATCTCCCTGCGGGCTAGCCTGGTCTTGCAAGTTTAAGGTCACATTCCTAACTTTTGGTTTGGCCCCTAGCGTCTTTGTTTTTAAATGACTTAAGGGAAAGGGAATTAACTTAGCCTCAGGCGGATTTTCCATTTGAATAGACTTAATAGCCCTCTGCATGCCTTTTTACAGGTCTTCAGGGGGCCACGAACTTTGGCCCATATACTCAGAAAGACAAACTTCCAGAGCTGTCCAAGTTCTCTGAATACTTTCTATGCCTCCAGGTAGTTCATTAGAAAGATAAACCTTTTGTAACTTTCTTCCTAATTTCTCCCAAGTAGATAAATTTGGAGACTCTTGTTCACAAAACCAAGGACAATATTTGCCTACAATCTTTAAGAATTGTAATAACTGAGCTTTCTTTATCTGTTTTCCTTTCTGATTAATTATACTGTCTAAAATAGATACATTTCCTTATCAGTAGAAGTTGAATTTCCCATTTTAATTAATTTAACGTCTCTTTCCTTCAATATCTCCAGGTACTTTTGTGACTCTAAATTGTCACCACTTCCTTTATCTTATCTTTATAGCAGGCTCCCACTCAATCTAGCTAATCTAGAATGCCCCACGTTGGGCGCCAATTCCACCATGCGGCCTGCGCATTGGTTTCATTAATGAGGTTCTTGGCATAAAAGTTAGCTAGCAGAGATCGAAATAAACACACAGACTCAGTTACCTTTTTCTATGACCAGGTCCGAGACGGCTCCCCTCTCTGGCTCCAACCTCGAACCACCCGTAGGGCAGCAAGGATTACTCAGGGCTAGCAGAGGAGAGAGAGAGCGAGCACGCCAGGGAGTAGCCTTTTATTGGGGAACAAGAAATTCAGGGGAGAATTCCATCCAATGAAGGTTGAGGGGGGGGCCGCACTCCAAGGTCAGGGTCAGTGATTGGGCCCCCGGGGTCAGTGGTCAGTCACACCCCCACACTGACGGGTTCTCTCATCAGGAGAGGGCCGGGAAAGTTCCAACACAGCCAGAAGCCTCAGACCCAAACCGGGAGTCGCCCAGTCACGCGTGAGGATGGCTGTCCACAGGGATGTCTGTCTTTTTCTTTTCCTCATAACTGTTAAGTCCTAATTATGTTTAACCAAGAACTCTTAGTAAAGTTTTAAAGGTTGCAAAATAACATGATCATTTTCTAAATATTAGGAAGGCAGAAAAGAAAACCAAAAAACCTCAGAGCCCAGTATCCCAGAACTAGACAGTGAACATTTTGGTGGGGACCCTTCTGGGTGTTTCTTCAAGATGTGCTTGACACACATTTTGAAAAATAAAAGACTTTTGAATAAATTGGTAGATCTTTGGAGGTCCTTTCTTCTCCTTTCAAAATCGTTGTTACTTATAGTCCCATGTTTAATCTTACCCAGACAGATTATTTTATTATTCAAGCAAACAGAATGTGTATTATTTAGAATGTACTGATTCTTCTGAAGCATTTAATAGAAGGAATTTGCTATTCAGGCACTCAAGTTTTAAATATTTTGTTAAATTTTCTACATGAAATATGAGTTACAGACAACAGTTATTAAAAACATTAACAATGCCAAGTTGCAAATCTCTATAATTTGATTCACCATCATTTGTTGAGTGTTAAAAAATATCTTTTATCCAACTTGGACCTCCCAGACTATTGACTGAAGGAAAATGTTGAGGGAAAAAATCAAAGAACTGATTTTATCATTTAGCATTAAATAAGTTAATGTTGCTGAAAGCTCAGTCCTTGGCTTCAATCCAGTAAGGAAGACACGGTTTTGAGAAAATGGGAAAAGAAGGTTTATTGCTTTGCTACCAAAGGAGAAACATAGGGGACTCCTGTCCCAAAGGCTGTGATTCTGCCCAGCCATAGGAACAGGGTGCTTTTATAGAAGTGATTCAGAGAAAATTAGATTAGGAAGGGTAGATCAGGAAGTAGATATGATGGAGGGGCAGATCAGGAAGAAGTTTAGGGAAAAGACAGACTGGGAAAAAGAGAAAACATGTAAGCTTCAAAGCTACCAGGGATATAGTCAAAGCATCACGTGAACCCCAGTTACATTAACAGCTAGATTACCATTTGTACAGTCAGTAATTTGATATGTGGTAGATAAATTGTCCACCATAGAAAATTTAGACAATTTAGAGAAATATAAAGAAGAAAATAAAATTTCCATGAATCTTCGTTAAATGATCGAAACAGTCTGGGGATGTAGCTCAGTGGTGAGGTGCGTGCCTGGCATCCTGAAGCTGGGAGTCCTGTGCCTGGCACCACCCCAAACAACAACTTGTACAAACAGTCCTGCATCTGTAATTTGGAGTCAGCCTTTTATCACTTGGCAGACCCATCTGAAGACATGAGTTTTGGCAGTGGGAGGGGCGTTGGAGATCATAATGACCTGGGCACCTGACTGGGTGTGGGACACTCTGGGATGTTTCTTACCCGTCAGGGTGACGGGCACATCCCAGCTGTGGCTCTCAGCTCCGCCCTCCTGCCCGCTGCTTCCCTCTTGTTTCTGGGTTCAGAACGGAACATTCACGTGGGCATGGATTGTCTTATCCTGACAGCTGCATTCTTCCGAGTGTGACCATATTCGTGTGTGTGCTTGCTTAGGTTTTACTACTCAACAAGCAGAAATCATTGTCTCTGCACTGGTCAAGATCATGGAGACCAATATGAACATCGTCTACAAAGACATGGTCACCAAGGTACAGCAGGTTAGTGTGGTCCTGGTGGGTGAGCAAACTGGAAATCTGAAAGTGGGGTGTTATTTGTAATTAGTATTCATGAAACTTTTCAGATAATAGTTGGTTGAAAAATATATAGTAATTTTAACCATAGGAGGCAAAAGAGAATAGAGCATAAAATTAGACTCTTCATGCTTAAAAGTTCACTATGCTCAAAAGCTGTCTGTCCTGGTCAGGGTACTTCAATAAATGGAGATGTGGCCAGAGTCGTGTCCTTGGTCCACAGACTTGTGATTCACGTGGTGGTGATCTGTTGCATGGTTTGTTCTCCCCGTTTTCTCACCTTGAATAGTGGTGACCTTACTGAGCCCCCTCCAGTCCTTATCTGTCTAGTTCCTTGTGGCAATGACAGCAGGTACAGACACCAGGAGGTGGACTGCTGGGCTCACTGGATTGTATGTGTCATTTCTCTCTTTCTAGGAGATCACTCTTCAGCAAATAATGTCTAAGATTGCTAATGTGAAAAAGGATATGATCATTTTGGAGAAGAGTGAATTTTCAGCTCTCAGAGCAGAAAATGAGGTAAAAACTACAGATCACTCATAAAATATGTTACATTAAGACACTGAGCTGGGCACGGTGGCACACGCCTGTAATCCCACCAGCTTGGGAGGCTAAGACAAGAGGATCACGAGTTCAAAGCCAGCCTCAGCAACAGTAAGGTGCTAAGCAACTCTGTGAGACCCTGTCTCTAAATAAAAATACAAAATAGGGCTGGGGATATGGCTCAGTGGTTGAGTGTCCCTGAGTTCAATCCTCAATACCAAAAAAAAAAAAAAAAAAAAATTACACCGAGGTAAAACACACACACAGATGGGCAGTGCACAAGATGGGCAGTGCACAAGTGTGTACCACCACGAACTTCCAAGTATGCACCCTGAGGAGATGCGGGGGCAGAGCGTCACCCATCTCAGGGTCCTGCTGGTGACCTCAGTCAGGTCAGTGTTTGCAGTGCCACAGAAGTATGCCATTCTGTCCTCCTGGGGTGTGTGGGAACGATGCCCAGCTGAGGGCTGTCCAGGTCACATGCTACTGCACAGGTCCCTCTCCCTTCTCCAGGCAAGGCACGTGGCTCATGGGTCAGCACTTAAGTAATCGTTCTCTTTGCATCTTCCTTTTATTTTCAATCCTATTTAAAGCCCATAAGGGAAGGCTATTTATTGCCTGTTGATTTTAACCTCATAAGAAACCTTATCCTTAAAAGGTAAAGTCTGAACTCTCAGAGTCATCCTCAAAATCAGTTATTGAGGGCAGAATTAGTTGGAAAACAAATTTTTTTGAAGGAAATATTAAAGAAAGCAAGGTTACTGCAAGCAAATGTTAAAACAGTTGTGTAGCCAAGGGCAGTAGTACACACCTGTAATCCCAGCAGCTCAGGAAGTTGAGGCAGGAGGATTGATTGCAAGGTCAGAGCCAGCGTCAGCAACTTAGCAAGACTCTGTCTCAAGATAAAAAGGGCTAGGGATGTGGCTCAATGGATAAGCGCCCTGGGTTCAGTCCCTGGTAACAAAAAAAAAAGCAGTTACATCACTAATTTTACACAACCTTCAAGATGAATTAAAACTAATTTCAAGGTCTGCACAGGCATAGAGTATGACACATTTGAGCTCTGAATATTGTCAAGTTTGTGCTAAATGAGGGAAAAAGTTTAAGAACTTGTGCATAAATACATGTTGTAGTATTTGTAGATTATCAAGTTTTATGTTTTTCCTACAACTTTCTAAACATTTTTGTTACTCTTTACAACTTTCTAAACACATCCTTGTTTCTTTTTAATGTGTTTTTAGAAAATAGAACTTGAACTACATCAATTAAAGCAACAAGTAATGGTAAGATTCTCTTTCCTATATGCTGACTTTTTAAAATTTTATAAGCATAATGTCAGAAATAATTATATACTTTTAAAAACTTAATTCTTGGTGAAATATTTATGTAATATGCTTCAAAAGTTCACATTGCAAGACTTAACACAGCCAATGAAAAAGTCGCCAGTGTCTAACCAAATTCATTAACAAAATTGCCTTCTAGGAGGAGTTAAATCATTTTAAATCAAAATGTTTGTGAAGTAACCAAATGGAGCCCTTAGATTTCTCTTAAAAGTGACTTTCTTTAGAAAATCACATGTGATTTTTAAATGGTTACCAGGCCAGCTGTGTTTGGTTTGGTGTGGTTTTTTAAGGAGGAGGAAAGAGTATTGATTTTAAAAAAGAAAAGATTTTGATGAGTTTCAAAAAGAAGGCTTTACTTCAACCAGAGCTTAATGTTTCGTCTTGGCTTTCCATAGTTACCTGGGGAGCTGCTTTATTCCTGAATTCCACAGGGGGTTATGTAGGACATCTGGAAGTAAAGGCACCTGTGGTCCCCTGCCACCCAGGAGTTTGAGGGCAGCCTGGGCAACACAGAAAGCAGTAATGACCCACTCTGGGCTGGCATGCCTCTCGGAAGGGACTCTAGTCTATACATGTGGCTGGAAGCCTGAAGACAGGGCCAGCCTGGCTCCTCCACAGTCCCCTGACATTGTTATCCCTGGCCCCACCTCCGGCCGTGCCCTTCCCTGGCTGGCTCCCTTGGGCAGGTGTCCTGGGCTCAGGTCCTCAGGAGCTGTGAATTTCTGACTGTGGATTTCTCTTTGTTTTTGCCTTTCTATTAGGATGAAATGATCAAAGTCCGGACAGATACCAAATTAGACTTCAATCTGGAAAAAAGCAGAGTAAAAGAATTGGTATGTTCTTCTATTAAAAATAAATTATGAGGGGCTGGGGTTGTGGCTCAGTGGTAGAGTGCTTTCCCAGCATGCACGAGGCACTGGGTTCAATCCTCAGCACCACATAAATGTAAAATAAAGAAATTGTGTCCACCTAAAGTTTAAGAATAAATATTTTTAAAATAAATAAATAAATAACGCGTTCATTTCTTTTCAGGATGGAGTGCTTAGTTAAGTTCTAAGTTTGCATACATGTCACAAGTATTGTTAAAATATTTACCAATTTTTAGTGTTAGACAACACCTTTTCACTCTGTTTTGGAATAGGGCTTAAATTTGATGCTTTCAAAATTGCTGGGCAGGGTAGACCATGCTTGTAATCCCAGTGGCTCAGGAGGCTGAGGCGGAAGGATCACAAGTTCAGAGCCAGTCTCAGCATCTTAGTAAGGCCCTGTCTCTAAATAATATATATTAAGACCTGGGGATGTGGCTCAGTGGAAGCACCCTGAGTTCAATTCCCAGTATAAAAAAAAAAAAAAAAAGTAATGCTAATATTAAAATCTTGTTCAAATTGGGTTTAAACCTTTGTTTCAGAGATACTAGATAATGTGTTACATAGACATTAATAAGCAATTTAAACTCAATCTTGATCTATTTAATACTGACTTAAATCTCTGCAGGCCCTCATTTTGAAAAAGTTGATTATTTCAGATGAGCAATATTAAATAATACTAAATTCTACACAAATTCTGGATTAAAACATATTTCTGGGGCTGAGGTTTTGGCTCAGCGGTAGAGCGCTCGCCCAGCACGTGCGAGGCCCTGGGTTCGATCCTCAGCACCACATAAGAATAAATAAATTAAATAAAGGTATTGTGACCAATTACAACTAAAAAAATAAATACTTACAAAAAAACATATTTCTGTTTTGTCTTTGTGTGTGGTGCTGGGGTCGAACCCAGGCTAGGCAAGCGCTATACCATGGAGCTGCACCCTGTATATTGTCTGTTAAATACAGAGAGAAGGTGTTATGTTGAAGATGCGTGTGTTGGATTTGGTTTTTAGCCTGTCTAGGCATTCACCTCTCTGCTCAGGCTTTCTCTAGATGGCCATGTTAGTTAGGTGCCTTTCTTTTCCTTGGCTTAATGACAAGTGGGCACGTGGGGCATATTCCCAGCATGAACTAGTGTGGATGCACCTGCAGACACCGCCTGTGCAGACTCATTTTTCACAACTTCCCTTTAGTCAATGTGTGCTGTAATGGTAAATGGAGCTAATACTGCAACTCGGATAAATGCATAATTGTATTTTGGAACTGCTGCTGGACCTCAAGAGTTAAATTGAACTTCATTATACAAAACAGTTTCATGCCCATGTTACTCATCTTCTAGTCTCAGGATACTTATCAGCCATGAGATGAAATCACCTAGTCTCCCTAAAACAGTAGTGACCGCAAGCACATGACTGCCACCTAGGAGAGACACTTTTGGTCACCTTTATTCTCCTGGGTCATGTTTTTAAGTCTGAATTCATTTGATTTAGAACAGCAATCAAGCTGATAAAAAGCACATCTAGGAGATTAGAACATGGGAAGTGAAGGTTGATTAAAGCCATGAATCTGTGACTTACTCACCTAGCTGGGAAGCTGTTCCTGGTGATGCTGAACCTGCAGTAGCATGTTAGCTCATGTGTAGGTAACATGCCTTGGTGGAGATGAGTCATTTGGCCTTCTAATTCCTTTAGTGAGGTTATTAAATTAAAAGTTATATGAACTGTGGCAACATTTACAGCCAGTTTCAAAAGCAGTGTGGTATATAAATATTATGGGGCTTGGGGAGAGGGAACCCCACATGAGTGTCATTTCTACCTTGTGGGATGTCCAGGCTTTCTTCTCTTCTGGTGCCCAAGTCAGGGCTGGTGCTTTAAGGTGTGCGGAAAATCCAGCTCCACCCTGCCCCCTGGTGGCAGCTTGACACCTAATGCCCTGGTCTGAAACCCTGGTATTTGGGGAACATTTGTTCTTTGTTGGTCTTGCAACTAGTTTAGTTTGGGGTTGGGCATTGTTTATTTTTTGTCAGTTTCTTGTTTTGTTTTACTTCTAAGAAATGGTATTTTTATACTCTATTCCCTGATAGTTCTAGGAGGGACTGACTACCAGTTGCTTAGTTCAGGTAGTTCCTAGGGGAACATTTTATACCCAGAAATTTCCTAGATATTTCAAAGCATTAACTTTTTCCTTTATAATAACGTTAATTTAAGTCCTAAAAATCTTCATTTAAACTACAATGTGTCATTTGCTTAATTAAATCCTAATGCCCACTACTGAGGAGATATGTCTGATTTTGATTTTAATGTCAATAAAACTGTACTAAATCCTTTCACAGATATTAAAAGCCAGAGGCAGGAGCCATTTTAATTAGGGTTGGAGCTGGTAGGTTCCTTTGTGACTGGGTGTGACCATGCCGGAGCAGGAGTATTGTTCTATTGAACCCACAGGCAGTAGCTTAGTGTTTCTCACATTTTTGTGTTGTGTTTTATAATCACAGTGCAGTGTCTGTGTCACAGAGAACATTCCTTGGAGCTATCTTTTCCCCAGCTTTCTATTGTCCTGGTCTTTCTCTTCACCTCAGTGCTGACCTGTTTTCTTACAGCTGATGGGACAGCTCCTAACTTGAATTGGTTCTCTACCATTTTCAGCCTCTCAGAGCCAAAAAGCCTGTGGCTCAGCCTCCATCTAATCAGACCCACGAAGTGCTACTGCACCAGTGGGATTTAGTGCAGGTTGTTACCTGGTACCACAGTAGAGAGGTGACCAGTGACAGAAGGAGATCCGAGGATCAGAGCAGGAAGTATGAATAAGAAAGCTGAGTCACAGAATCTGAGCCACGGGAGCAGGCTGCTGTGTCCCCAGGGGGTTTCTGTGTCGGGGTGATCTAGGGAGGACTGAGACCAGAACCTCGAAGGCAGCAGAGGAGAGAGGGGCCATCAGGGGGACCAGGGTCTGACCTGCATTATGTGTCTATTTCAGTACACATTGAACGAAAGGAAGCTGCTGGAATTGAGGACAGAAATCATGGAATTGGTAAGAAATGACACTTTGACTTTTCTTTGTAGTTTTATCCATCTTCATTTCATCCTGTTCATAGTTATTGTCATTTGTAATTATGTATTGTGGAAAGATATGCAGCTTTATGTCATGAGGTTTTTAAAAATTGAGGTAGAATATACATAATATAGGAGCTGGGGATGTGGCTCAAGTGGTGGAGTGCTTGCCTGGCATGCATGAGGCATCCTCAGCACCACATAAAAGTGAAATGAAGATATTGTGTCTACCTAGAACTAAAAACTGAATATTAAAAAAAAAAGAATATACACAATATTAAAAATACCATCTTGAGCCAGGCACAGTGGCGCACGCCTGTAATTCCAACAGTTTGGGAGGCTGAGGCAGGAGGATCTTGAGTTCAAAGCTAGTCTCAGCAACAGCAAGGTGCTAATAAGCAACTTAGTGAGGCCGTATCTCTAAATAAAATACAAAATAGGGCTGGGGATGTGGCTCAGTGGTTAAGCACCCCTGTATTCCCTCTCTTGTACAAACAAACAAACAAATAAATAACCATTTTTACGATTGTGGTTCAGTGGTATTTATTTTGCAAAATTAAAACTGTATCCCTTAAACACTAACTCCACACTCCCTCCTCCTGCAGCTGCTGGCAACCACCGGTCTGTTTTCTTTCTTTAGAGTCTGACTGTTCTAGGTAATTTCTAGTAAGTGGAATCATGCAGTCCTTGCCTTTGGTTGCTGGCTTGTTTCACTTTAGCACAGTGTCCCCAGGGTTCACCCACATTGTTGTACATGACAGAATTTCTTCCTTTTCACAACTTGATTGTATTCCATTGCATGTTTAGACCACATTTTACTTATTTACCTGTCAGTGGACACCTGAGTTGCTTCCCTTTTCTGCTATTTTTATGCTACAACAAACATGGAAAGTAAATAGCTCTTGAGCCCATTTTCAGTTCTTTCGGTGTGAACCCAGAAGTTGAGTATTTTACACTTAACAAAATACTTGATCTTGATGAAAATTTAAATCTGTGATTGACAAATAGTAAGGAATGGAGACCTTGTCTCATTTTTTTAATTACGGGCTGCATTACTCCTTTTCCTCTGTCCTCCCTCAAAGGCTGGGATGTAGCTCAGTGGGAGAGCATGTGCTCAGCATGGGCCTGGTTCAGGCCCCAGCGCTCACATGAGGGACCTGTGAAATCTATTAAGAGGCGTCCATGAGAGGATTCTGGGGTGTTGCTCTGGAATACTTTGGAACACATTTAAGCATTCACTTCCTTGTTCGTTGCCTGAATTGGTAATGGTAGGAGACTGCTGGCCTGACCTAGGATTTTCAGTGAAGCCTTGTCTGGGTTTCAGGCCTGAATGCAGTTACATAATGTCAACCTCTTTGCGGGTGAATGTACACCTGGTTTAACTGTGTTGATTTGGGGAAGGACACAAAGAGACCCTTGGTAGCTAAGCCTTGTATTAATGAAGCACTTGATGTCTGAACTACAGAAGAAAGCTGTAAATTACCAACATGGACTAGAAGTAACGTCAAGACAAGCAGGGTCACTTTTGGATTGTCTGAGGAGTCAAAAGAATTTTTGTCAGAGGAAGGGAACACAGTCATTGTATTGAGGGCAGACTGGCTTCGTAATGCTTCATCAGGCTCGGCAACCTCTAGTTCACGAAAGGTTTGCACACGGGTTCTCGCTTTTGATTCTCTAAATAGCCTGTGTGAAGGGCGGCCAAAGGTTGTAGGGGTCTGTTTTTGTTTTCCCAGTCAGGGGGAAACTGAGGCCTGGAGACCTAAAGCATGGCCCCTGGTCTCCCCTAGGCTGCCCGGGGGCTCCCCAGCAGGAAGGTGCTCTGGGATGGAGGGCGGGGGGCCAGGACCTGAAGCCTCCTAATGCTCTGAAGCTCTTTGTTTTGAAAGCATGCCCAGCAGGATCGTGCCCTGACGCAGACAGATAGGAAGATAGAAACGGAGGTCGCTGGCCTCAAAACCATGCTTGAGTCGCACAAGCTCGACACCATCAAGTATCTAGCAGGTAAGCTGTTTGGTGTCTGAGTGTTCAAACAACATGGCAAGGAAATACGTCAAACTTTATAGAAGTCAAATATTGCATTTCATTGATTCTAGCACTTCTTTTCATGGAAAGCTTCTTGTAATTTTCAATAGGTGAAGTATTATTCTTTCATTGGTATTTTTTTCTTTCTTACTATCCTTTCTTTACTCACTAGTAAAATTAAAATAATGGTGTACTTTACAATTGAACAAGTCATAAATTTAATAATATCATTGGATTATGGCTATTGGGATTTTAGAGGAATTCAATAAAGGAAATATTTTATGAATAAAAGAGAAGGTATTTGAGTTGTGATCTTTCTGCTTTGATTGGTAATACTCCTTTTAAGGGGTCATTTTGCATTTGCAGTTTTTGAGCCAAAAGCGGGAATGTAGATTCATGTATCAGAAACAAAAACATAAGCTGGGCAGTGGCGCAGCAGCACCTTAACAAGGCCCCATCTCAAAATTAAAAATTTTAATAAAGGACTGAGGACATAGCTCAGTGGTAAAGTGCCCTGGGATTCAGTTCCCAGTACCGCTCTCCCACCTGGGGATGGGGATGTGGCTCAGTGGTAGACCACCTAACCTAGCATGCATAAGGCCCTGGGTTCAGTCCCCAGCGCTACAGCCAAACAAACAATGCAGAAATTATTTCAAATCGGTTTTAAAAGCTTAGATTAATCAGGTACTTTAAAGTTATAACTATATATATTAAAATATCTGTACCTGAATCATTCACATGTATATGTATTTGCACACACATATGTGGATGTACACACATATATGTATGCTTTGTGACCAAGAGTCTTTGTGATCCTAAACTTTCTTGAGAAGTTCTCGTGAATACTAAATTATTTGTACTTTGAAGTTGATGGTCTCAAGATATGGAGTTAGTTTGTTTTTAACAGGCAGATGTTTCTTGGCATATTAGTGAGCAGACAAGTTTCTGTATTTTTTTGTTTTTGTTTTTGTTTTTTTCCCCCATAGCGGAGAGGTAGTTGGATGTGTTTCCTTAATAAGCAGAGGTTCCTGCACTTCAGGTCACCTCTAGCTTATTTACAATCTTTTTTTTTTAAGAGAGAGAGAGAGAAATTTTTAATATTTATTTTTTAGTTTTTGGTGGATACAAAATATTTATTTATTTTATATGGTGCTGAGGAATGAACCCAGCACCCCGCGAATGCCAGGCGAGCGCGCTACTGCTTGAGCCACATCCCCAGCCCCTACTTACAGTATCTGATGCAGTGTAACATGTTCCCTCAAGGAGCTGTAGTAGAACTAATAATACTCAATTATTTTTTCTTACAGGGTCTGTATTTACATGCCTGACAGTAGCTCTGGGATTTTATCGCCTGTGGATGTAATAAAGGTGTCTATTTAAAGAGATTTCCATTGTTTTGCCTTAAGAATACCAGACTATTGTCTCTTTTTTTTTTTTTCTTGTTTCAAATTTTAATTCTGATTTGACTTAATGCATACTGTTTATTTTTACACAAATTATGGGCACATAGCCAAAGTAAAGAAGTCAGGGACTCTCTGATCATCCTTTTTGCCTTCTGCCTAGTTAACTTGATAACTAAGGGGTGTGGCCCACACCTGGACGACCCACTTAGTGATCCGTGCACTTGGTCTGACCTTGGTGCAATACCGACAATAAGTGTTTTTGTAATTCCCTACAATTTGAAATCTTCTTGTCACATAGAGGACTTGGGGTCTTCATTAAAAGGGGACTGTGGCTATAAGCGCTGAAGAATCATTGACTCCAACCCTGAGCGCCCACTCCTCACCCACCCTCCCCTCACCGCTCACCGCTCCCCGCCCCAGCGCTGCCTCTGCTGGGCTGGTTCTGGTTAATACAGCTGTACTTCTGCTCCTAAAGAATGCTTGCTGCCGACTCCGTTGTCTTAGTAAGTTACTGTTATGTTATTTTTAATGTGCCTTCCAGCTAGAAAATCTTGCTGCCTAATGAAGCGTTGTAATTGTAATGGGAACTCTTGCTGCTTAGGATGCTAGATCCCCCTCGTGTCTTGAACTGTAATGCTGCTCTGCTGAGGCACTGCCACCCAGAGGACCCCTCCTCCTCGGCCTGGTCAGCTGCAGGGTGCGCTTCTGCCTGGTCCCTCCTCATCTGCATCTTGGTTTTCTACAGGGGAGCACTCGGCTCCCTCCTGCAGGTTGTCTAGACATCTGGCTGTCCTGTCGCTCTAAATGATGAAGCCCACGCCTGTCCGAGTGCTGCCTGTGACCAGCTCAGCTGCGCCTTCCGAGTGAGGACTGGCTTCTGTTGCTGAGACGTCCTCAGGCCTACCCTACCTCTGTATTTGAAACAAATAAATCCTAGGTGCAACTGGGGTTATTTTAAAGAAGTACCTTTTGTGCTTATTGAAACAACAGACTTGTGGGCAAGAATAAGCATTTTGGAGCCTGGTGTGGTACCTCACACCTGTAATCCCAGCGGCTCACAGGAGGATCATGAGTTCAAAGCCAGCCTCCTCAAAGGCGAGGTGCTTAGCAACTCAGTGAGACCCTGTCTCTAAATAAAATACAAAATAGGGCTGGGGATGTGGCTCAGTGGCCGAGTGCCCCTGAGTTCAATCCCTGGTACCCCAAAAGAAAGCATTTTGGAAGCAGTGACACTGACAGGACCTTTTCTGTCTTTACACTCACACGTGCTGCACACCATACGGTGCAGAAACCACAGGAGGATTTCTTGATCAGTTTGGCAGAATAAATTACCCAGTGCCAACCACATTAGTAAAATTAAGTTACCTTTGTCCTTCAGATGTAATTTCTAAGCATTAGGAAGTCTTTACTATTTTAGAAAACATTTGTAAACCAAGCATTCTGAGCTTCAGACCATAGGATAATCAAGTACTTTTCTATTAGTGGAAGCAGTTTCAAAGTGAAGTATCCTAATTTACTCCTTTTCAAGTAGATCAAAAATTGTCTTAATGACTTAACAAAATATTTCATCAGTATATTCTTTCCCCTTTCTAAGAAGAGTCCCTGGGAAGAACAGTGCATTCAGCTGTTGCCTGACACCTTGAAGACCCCATAGGTGGCCCCCCCTGAAGACCACACTGTGACTAATGTCAGCACAACCTAGGATAGAGCTGGAGAGGGACTCACCAGGTCACAGCTCCAAAATAAAGCCCCCAGGAGCAAAGGTACCATGTGCCATTGTGTTTCAAGTAAACACTGACCTTGGTAGGTCAAAAGCAAGCATGCCGTCCTTTCATCCTGACCATTAAATAACAGTGGGGTGACAGTCTTGTGTCTGCTAAAGGCACTCCCACATCGTGCCTCCTGGCCTAGTGGGCCTCATCATCCCATCACTTAACTTAGACCTTTGGTTTTTCTGAGAGTTCTTGCAGCACAGAACAGCCCTGTTGGGCTTGGGGACAATGAACTGTCCTTTAGAAGATGTGGATGGCATGCAGGTCTGGAGTTCAGCAGGGCTTGGGACTGGTTCCCATTATTTAGCCAGTGTTTTATATTTGAGAATCATTGAGCTGGCTCCAGCATCTGCATGGTGGGAGCCAGCTATGTCTAGACAGTTACAGCTTCCTGTCCTCCAGCTCCTGAGAAGTCAGATCACCTTAGGAAATTGGGTATTATCTAGCAAGACTAAAACAACGTGGGCATTTTTCCCCTCAAATATGCCAAGCCCCTCCATTGGAAAGTTGCAAGTTCAAGAAGAAAGGCTTGACTCATGCCTCAGGCCTCAGCCCCAGCAGACCTGTCTCTCCCGGCCGTCCCCGCATAGCTGTGCTCAGCACTGCCATCTGCCCTCCTTGTCTGGCTCCCTCTCCACCCTTTGCCCGTCATTAGCATCCTGCTCTGCTGTGTTCTAAGACCTCTGCACCCTGTACTCTAGACCTCTGACTTCAGCAGACATTTACCAACTGTGTTGTGGCTTTTTTGGCACTAAAAAACATGTTGACTGGAAATAATGTACTCCTTATTTAAAATACTCAAGACTGTTTAGTCCTTTATTGGAATTTTATTTGGAAAATATATATCTTTCTGAAGATTTGTACCTAAGTTTCCTTTGATTACAACCAAAATCATTTGTTAACCCTTTTATTACTTAAGCAAATATTCAATTACATGGTTTATTATCTAATGGAGTGTGTATTAGGTTTTTATTATCTAAAAATATTTAATTATTTGTGACTAATATTTTGGGGGACAAAGGGTGGCTAGGAATTGAAGCCAGAGCCTCGTGCATACTAGGCAAGCACACAACCACTGAGCTACATCTCAGCCCTCTAATACATTTTTCCAGTGGTTCAAATGAAAAACTAAAATAACTTCTGTCTAGAACAACTGTATTCACTGTATCCTTTATATGATAAAATGAGTGAATTGTAAGTTAATCTAATAACTGAAAATTTGAATTTACATTAAAGTATTTAAAAGTAAATATTTGATCTACAAAATAAATTTTTATTCAAAAGAATTATTCAGCATACTTGTGTACAGTATTTTAAGTACTTCTTCGGGGAAATGATGAGCATAATGCACAGGTTTTTAGAGAGGACTGGGGGGCAGGGGGAACCAGATAATGGGATTCCACCTCAGGCTAGCTTGGACAGAAAATGATTTCGGTTTTCAGCTTGCACAACCAAAGTCTGGGCAAGGCACACTAAGATGCCATCAGAACTCTCCTCTCTATAAGCACCTAGGGCCCATGTCTGCAGCTACCTCTGACACAAGCCTCACCCTGATTAGCTCCACTCTGAGAACACCTGGAAAGGAATGGTCTGGGGAGGGGTGGGGGGGCAGGGCTGCAGCAAGCATCAGCCTCCTGAGGGGTGCTGTGGTTCCTTGCTGCATGCTCACCTCCCTGGGAGCCTACTGGGCAGGTTTCCCAGGAATCAGCTCTGTGAGCAGAGTTTCAGGGTAATCAATGTCTGCTCCACAGGAATGCTTTGGAAAATTGGGCAAATGAAATAGAAAAGTAGTCAGGAAATTAATGCTGGGTACCTTTCATTTTCTCCAACTAGAAATCTTAAAGTTAGAATCAGAGCAACTAGACTTGAGGGTTAGCAGCAGTTTCTAAAAGGTGATTAGCCTCTGAGATAGGGAAAGGCCCTGAGTGATCTGCAAACTCTGCCTTCAAGTTCGCAAATGGTGTGTTAGATGTGAGTCACCGTCCACCCCGTCCTCTCTGGGCCCCATTTCACATCTGTGGTGCATGAGCAAACTCAGTCCTTTTCACTTTGGGCCTTTGGTTTTTCCAAAAATAAGAAAATTGTTTTAAAGGAAAGCATTTTCTAGAAACAGATTTCTCTCTGGAATCTGAGCCTCAGGCGTTCCAAGGCAGAGCTTCACGTTCATTGGTGTGCCAGTCACGTCTCCATTGTAATCTGCAGTTTCCACAGGAGGCTCCTGCCATGAAGCCTAAGGGTGCTGGGCCCATGGGCACTGAGAGAGGCCACTGTCCAGCAGCGTCTTCAGCCTACAGATCACTGAGATTCTCGTCGTCTTATCGCACATATGCAGGTAACTATTTTGAGACCCACAGTTTAAGGAATGAGTATTTGAAATACATAAGTATAAAGAAGGCCTTAACTTTTCCTTTCAGTTTAATCCTTTTTTCTCTTTCCTTTTTTGCACACGCACTAATATTTCAGTAAACCCTATTCAGTTCATGATTCTGAAGCCTCAGTCGGCTCAGTATTAAAGCCCCGGAGCTGTATTCGGAGGGTAGATGCAGCTTAGCATATCATTTCTGCTGCTGCTGTTTTTCAGCAATGATTCTTCAAACCCCTGCCCCTAGGCCACCTCAGTGTCCTGGACACTCATTCTCTCAGGAGGTCAGACACAGCTGCTTGGTGGTATCTTTTTCTCCACAGACAGCATAAAAGTCAATATCTTTTCCTAAACAGAAGTATTTTTTACTATTTCTTTCATGTTTGCATAGTATTATAGTTTGCATGACCAGCATTCCAGGGGCTATTGTAATAGGCAGTGTCTCTTCAACCTCAAGAATTGCTGTCTGTGCCAGGCACAGTGGCACACACCTGTAATCCCAGTGGCGTAGGAGGATCCCAAATTCAAGGCCCACCTCAGCAACTTAGCAAGGCCCTAAACAATTTAGTGAGACTCTATCTCAAAATAAAATATAAAAAAAGGGCTAGGGATGTGGCTCAGTGATTGAGTGCCCCTGGGTTCAACCCGTGGTACCAAAAACAAAAGAATTGGTGTCTGTGCAAACCTTAGTGGCTAAGACTGTGAAGAAAAGATGAAGCCCGGAAGAGCATGATGTTCAGTGAGCCCATGGAAACATGCACAGTTGTTTTTGTTACTGTCATTGTTTTTTACATATGTGTCAGTTGCATGGAGGCTTTCAGCAGCAGGTAACATCAAACAAGCAGAAGCTTCCACCTAATGTCTTTTTTATTACTTCAGTGTAGAAATAGGAAGTCCTCAGGATTGGATTGACAGCTCAAGGCTGCCTTCATGCAATAGATCTCCTTTCATCTTTCCACCTTCCTTGCCTTCCTTAAGTGTTAGCTTTCTGCTTCAGACTGAGGGTGATCTGATCACAAGAAGGCTGCCACAGCTCCAGGCATCCTATCCTCACATGACCGGCATCCAAAGCAAAAGAGAGAGGGAGAGAGAGGTGAGTGCAGAGGGACTCTTCAGAAAGAGAGGGAGAGAGAGGTGAGTGCAGAGAGACTCTTCTCATGTCTCTTTCCTTTAAATCAAGAATGATTGCCCACCATAGAAAACCCTTTATATCACATAGACTGGGATTGAGTCACACAGATTACAAGGGGAATGGTTAGTAGTTTTAGCTGCTCTGGTAGGAGGAGGGCAAGCCAGAAGAGGGCTGGGCATGGTCATCAGGTTGGCATTCAACAGTGCTGGTTACATGTTCACGAAAATAAAGCACAGGCCATGCAATCAGTGCCACCCCTCAGTGGCCGGATACACTTATTTCCAGCAGTATTGTGGGTAATTTTATTTTATTCTGTTTCACAATATATTTTTACTGGTTTTCCAACCAAATCTACAATTACTTTTTTTTTTAATGTCATGACTAGTTTCTAAGATCCAACTATAATTCTGGACTAACTCGGATGCCTGGGGGAAGGGGTTATTATTTAGACAATCCACACACACCTTTGGGTAGTTCTCAAAACTCCTCTATATAGTTTTGTTTTGTTGTTTGGTACCAGGGATTGAACCCAGAGGTGCATAAACTGAGCCACATCCCCAGCCCTTGTTCATATTTTATTTAGAGACAGGGTCTTGCAGAGTTGCTTAGGGCCTCGTTAAGTTGCTGAGGCTGGCATTGAACTTGTGATCCTCCTGCCTCAGCCTCCAGAACTGCTGGGATCACAGGCCTGAGCCACCACACCTAGCAGGTCATATGGTTTTAACCAAAGTGTAGCCTAGGCCACCTGCAGCTCCCTTTTGCTCAAAAGGAACAGGAGGGGAGCTGCCACACCGAAGTCTCTTTTGGCTCAGTTGTTGTTGTGGCCTTGCAAAGCCTGTGCTCCTGCACGCGTTGCTTTCCCCAGCTTCCTGCTTCCATCTTTTCCATTTTATAGGAAAAGCAAAAGAAAACCTACAGACAGTAGATAGCGTTCACAGTTGTTAAGGGATGCTTGTGGATAAGTAGCCCTCCCACTTATTCAGAGGGCAGGGTGGGGACTAGAACCCACTATGTTCTCCACCAAGCAACACTCTATTTATGGGATGCTGCAAATTACATACCTGTGCCTTCATCCAGGTATACCTGCAGAGAACAGGACTGTGACACATGTATGTAACAAAGTCAAGGCCAGGTGCTTACTGGGAGAGAAAAAGAAAAAATAATAAAAACACAAGAGACCTGGTCAAGGGTGGCGGATGTCTGAAATCCCAGCAGTTCTGGAAGCTGAAGCAGGAGGCTCACAAGTTCAATGCCAGCCTCAGCAACTTAGTGAGGCCCTAAGCAATTCAGCGAGACTCTGTCTCCAAATAAAATATTTAAAAGGATGGGGGTGTGGGTCAATAGTTGAGCGCTCCCTGGGTTCTATCCCAGTACCAAAAAAAAAAAAAAAATCTGAATTATCATTCATCAGGGTTCAAGGGGAACTAAATGAAGCCACCACCACCATCATCATATCAATATCATCATCATATGATTTTAAAGTCATTATATTCAAAACGTCGATGAGGAACAGAGCCGACTCCTGATGAGCACAAGGGGAGAAACGGAGATCCTGCGTCTGGGTTGGCTGCCAGGACCTGTAGGACACCAGGGCGGGGCAGGCTTTGCTGGTCGCTGCCCTGCTCTGTGGGTGGGGGACTCACAGCTTCTGCGGCAGCGGTCCCCATCTCTGGAGCGCGTCAGCCTGGGCCAGAAGGTGGCGCCACAGAGCCTGAGGGTGCACCGCAGGAGGGCTCCGGGAGGAGTCCAGGGTGCATCCGAACAGCCCTGGGCAAGCCCTCCCATTCCTCCAGCTGCCTGACCCAGGCCTGGGCAGGCAAGCCTGACATGCACCACTCCCCAACCCGGACAGTCTCTTGAGACTTTCGGACACCACCGGAGAGATGCCAGCCCTGTTGCACTGGCCCTCGCCCGCTGCACCCGGGGATCTCCCAGAGTTGGGAGGCGCTGACCAGGCCATCGCAGACTGGCTTCAGACCTTAGTTGTCTCATCTGTAGAAGAAAGTGATCTGGCCATCCTTTCCCCCCAGTTCCCCATACTGGTGGAGTGATCCAGCACATGCAGAGCTCATCACAATCATTAAAAATAACACAAGTGAACTTCCGACCCCTAACATTGCCCTGAATCGCCACAGTTCTTTGTCAAGATTTACTTCCTCCAAGAAGTTTCTAGATCCACCCCATTCTTCTCTGTGTACCTCCCTGTTAACATCTTGTGTCGGGGTGGGAAGTGTAGCCCCAGCTAGCAGCTAGACTCGAGGAGCAGGTCAGGAGTCTTAGAGCAAATGAGTTAATCATTAGTCCTGCCTCAAATAGTGATTTAGCTATGTGAAGACCCTCGCCTGATCTCAGCCCCAGAAACTCTTCCTCCTGTAACAGGATTTAGGGGGTAAGAACCAAAAGGCAAGAATGTGTTTGCTCAAAAGGGCCTCATTGCTAAGACAAACAATTCAGACCAGAGATGCATGTGCAGACCTAGGGAAGCAGGAGGATTAAGACTGGAGCCTTCTACCATGAATTCTACAAAACCAGTTCCAATTAGGACTCATCAGCCAAGACAAAAGAGTTGCCCTCATGTCGTTAGCTAAAGTATCTGTCCATTCAGAACCTAGAGGTGATACTTGGGCAGGACCTTCTAACAGTCTCCCCACTTCTTCAGTAAAAACTGGGACACAGGGGCTGGGGTTGTGGCTCAACGGAAGAGTGCTTGCCTAGCACATGAGAGGCAATGGGCTCCATCCTCAGCACCACATAAAAATAAAAAATAAAGGTTTAAAAAAAAATCTGGGACACAAAGAAGTTGCTGCTCTTCTAAGAGGACCCACTCTCTCCCTTGAGGGTGCTCCCCCCTTCTTTCCCTTCTAATAAACTTTGCTATATTTTTACCAAGTCTCCTGTCTTGCTTGAAATCCTCTCATTTGAAGGCATGAGAGCCCAGAACACAATATAATCTCCAATAAGATCTGACCTCAGGTATCATCTTTCTTCCATTACCTCCAGAGCCATGTTGCCTTGGGATGAATCCTGTGTGACCACAGACAACTGCCTTCTCAGTGATTCAGTTTCCTCATCAGTATTTTAGGTGTAATAACAATACAGTTGTCCCTTGGCATCTGTATGGGAGGTTCCAGGACCCCCCCCCCCCCCGCAATACAAAAATGCTTTGAGATGCTCAAAGCTTCTTATATGAAATGGGATAGCATTTGCAAATAACCTATGCACGTCTTTCTGTATACTCATCCCCAGCCCCATCCTGTTACTTCAATGATCTCTAGATTACTTCTAACACTAATATAATGTAAATGCTAGGTAAATAGTTGTCATACCGAATTGCTTTAGAAATAACAATGAAGAAAGTCTATATCTATTCCATGCAGATTCAATTTCTCTAAAATATCTCAGGACCTAGAAACAATTTTGTGTTAGTGCATCTTACTGTCTTCAGGGTGCTATTTTGAACTTGACCTGTTGTTTAATAGCTGTTTCTAAACATCTTGCAATGACTGTCCTTCATCTAGGGCCCCTTCCCAGTGCCAAAATAATGCTCCACCCCCAGCAGAGTCTTCAGTAAATGCTCACTGATTCCCATACCAATTGTTCAGAATTCAAGGCACGTTCTCCACCAGAATATTTAACAAAGATCATCTGCCCTCATTTGTAGATTCTGGATGATCATCAGAGACACGAGTTGTCACCTTCTGGCTTGCCTTGTTTCTCAGAAGCCTTGTGTCACACTGTCTTTAGCCACAGCTGCCCTGGAACCTTGGGACTTCCCTGTTCCCAGCTTCATGTGAAGCTGAAAACTGGCCACATGACTCTGAGGGGGCACCCAGAGTCATGTGGCACGTGTGGGAGTGGGAGAAAGTTGAGCTGCCATGGATACACACTGGAGGGAGAGAGCAGGAGCCCCCCTCAAAGGTCAGCATCCTCTGGGGTGGGGGGGCGCTGGGCTAGAGCTTCCCACCATTACAAAAACACTGTGTTGGGTAGGATCTGCTGCTGCTACCTTTTGGCTGCGTTGACAATTGGAATCTTCCAGATTGTTCCTTGTGTGCTTATAACCCGTCTTTGGAGTAATATGATGTGGGTGGATGCCATTTATAGAAGCACATGGACCAATCGGCCTACGCCTCGAAGGAACACTGGCTCTCCACTCTCCCTGTGGGTCTTGCAGAACAACACATTATGTCAGTCTGTTCAGGGGAGAAGAGAGGAGAAAGGACGTCATTCAACTTAAGGACCTGAAGGAATGTCAGCGCACAGAGCCAGCCCTGAAGAGAAGTCGGCAGCAATGTGTCCTGTAGGCTCCTGCTTCCCCTCTCTGGACTTGCTCTTCATTCCACGGGGTCCCTTTTTGGTCAGATGCCCACTCCCTCGTGTGGTCTCAGTACCTGGTCCACTAAAAAGACAGATCCTTCTCCTCCCAGGAAGGGAGCACAAAGAGACTGGTCCAAATCCTAGCCCCTCTCCTTCCCAGTGGCCCGAGCTCGTGCCATGACCTCTCTTCTCATATGAAACAGAGATGGGGACGATGGAGATGGCTGGAGGTACCCTTTCAGTTGCAAGTGACTGAAGAGCTGACTCGCATGGGTTTAACCAGAAAGGGACACTTTTTGACCCACAGGGTTAACAATCCAAAGATGGGGCAGGCTGACTGACCTGGGTCAGGGCCTCAGGTTCTTACTACAGCTCTGCTCTTCAGCCTCAGCGACGGTGACATCTGCAGGCTAGTTCTCTTCACAGTCAGAATGGCTTCCCCAGACACAAGGCCACTGTTAACCACAAACTAACCATGAACACAGAGAAGGTTACACGCTGACTGGCTTGGGCTTGGGGTCCTAAGCCAACCACTAACAAGGAGGGACAGAATTAATCTGATTGGTCTAGAGACCAGTGGCTCCCAGGCTCCAGCACTATTCTGAACCACCTGAAGGACCTACTCATCACAGATGACTGGGCCTCAGTCCTGGAGCCTCTGATTCAGCCTAGAGAATTTGCCTGTCTAAAAAGTCCTGCTGTGACAGTGGTGCTATTGGACAATGCTTTGTGAGCAGCTAGCATAGACTAATTAGGGTGACTGGCAGACGGGGATCAATTCCCCAGAATGCTCACCGAGCAAGGGGTGAAATGGATGTCAGAGAGTTGATGATAAGACTCAAAACCTTTCAGAGTAAACATGGGGATTGTTTCAGTAATAACAAGACACCCTAAAACTGAAAGTCTTTAAATAGAAGCTTGATACTGTTTATGAGGATTCTGTGGATTGGTTGGGCCCAGATGGGAAATTTTCACTTGGAGTTTCCCATGCAGTTAGAGTCAAATGTCAGCTGGACAGGAAACACCCAAAGATTATGTCGAACAGGACATCCAAAATGGCATCTGTATTCACATGCCTGGTATGTGGTATGGGATGGACAGAATAGCGAAGGGTGGACCCAGGGTCTCTTCCCCCACTCAGCTACTCCAAGTGGCTACATGGGCTTCCTGGCAATATGGCAGCCTCAGGAGAGTTGGGGTTTTTTATAGGGCAGCTGGCTTTCTCCAGAAGGAACATCCTGAGAGACCGAGGCAGAAGTAGTAAGGCATCTCCTGATCTAGCTTTACAAAAGCCCCAGGGCATCACCTCTGCCCCATTCTTTTGGTTATAGGTGAGTCATGGGCAGCTCAGTTTCAAGGGGAAGATTGCACAGAAGGCAGGACTATTCAGAGGCTAGGGTCACGGGGAGGAGCTGCCACAGGGATTAAAGGAGATCATTCATGTAAGCTCTGTGTAGGAGGGAAAGTAAAGCCCTTACCATGAGTGAGTTCTCAGGAAATGAGCATTATTATCATTGCTATTCTTTTCAGGGGAACTTGCTTATTACCCTTTAATCTGTTATTGTGGAATTTAAGACTTTCTCAGCCAGTGAAGGATTTTCAGGCACTGTTCAGCAGGCAAGGAGGTATTTTCTCGGAAAGGGATCTTTCTAATGTTTCCAAAACTATACGTACAAGTAACTATTTCTTCAATCAGGAGCAAGACCTGTGTGTGTATATATATATGTATATATTGGTACCAGGGATTGAACTCAGGGTTGCTTAACCACTGAGCCACATCCCTCACCTTTTTTTTTTGGTTCTGGGGATCTAACTCAGGGCCTTATACGCAAGGCGAGCACTCTTCCAACAGAGCCAAGCCATATCCCCAGCCCCACATTCCCTGCCCTTTCTGATTTCTATTTTGAGACAGGGTATGGCTAAATTACCTGGGACCTTGCTGAGTTGCTGAGACTGGCTTTGAACTTGTGATCCTCCCTCCTTCCTCAGCCTCCCAAGCTGTCAGTGTTATTACCGGCATGTGCCACTACTCCCCGCCAAGACCTTTAAAGTACACCTGTGTCGGTTGAAAAACGAACCTTTTCTATTGGTTTCCACGTGGATCTTATATTAAAAGTCACCTTTTGAAGAGAGACAGGCTGATTTTACTAATACTTTTGACAGTGCTTCTTGTGGTATAGCAATACTTCAGTAAAAGTACTCAAGTGCTCTTGTTCACACTTCAGTGATGGAAAATCTCTACAACAACTTACCACCTTGTTCCGGATCACGCTCATTCCACCACCTCTGTTCTAAGGACAAATATACCTTCCAAATTTCGACAGTACTATGCATCACTTAATTTCAGAATGGCCTCCCCAGTGGAATGATTTACTTATTTCTCTCTCTCTCTCTCTCTCTCTCTCTCTCTCTCTCTCTCTCTCTCACACACACACACACACACACACACACACACACACACACGGCTTCGTATGCACTGGTGGGCTTCCTTTGATTTTTCTTCAGAGTGTCAGGGTGAGTTGGGTTTTGATTCCCCCTGGTGACAGAAAGGCTTGAGGGGCTTTCCACTCGTGTGGGGGAGGAGCAGGTGTGAACCGTGAGAAAGCTCAGCTGGCTCCTGGGGACGGAACCAGCCGAGCCTGGGGAGCCCAGGATCTGTGTGCTGAGGCAGGCCTGCCAAGCTCTGATGTGTTTAGACTTGAACTTGGAGGGGAGGTTGCACCGAGACAGCTCCTGAGATCTGTTCCGCAGCGTGAGTGGGCTGGGGTGTTCTCGCTGAGCTATTTCTGTAGAGAAAGCTGTCTGGAACCATCTGAGAAGCCACTAACCACTGAGGCTCACTGAAACATGCCTTCTATCCACTCTTGCATCATCTTCCCTCCATTTTATGCCTGAGAGGACGCCTGTGTGTACAAGTCTAAGTCTGTGTGTGTTCCAGAGTTGTGTTGCCATGGAGAATTACTTGGAAGAGGCGTCTTATGAGCCGCTTGAACTGAACATATAAAAATGCATCCCAAAAATCAAAGCTCCTCTTCTATATGCACAGACACTGGAAGGAATCGCAAGAAAATTGGGACCAGTAGTTGCCTCTGGAGAAGGGAACTGGGGAGGGGACAGTGACACGAGGGAGATGACTCTTCACTGTGTCCTGTTCATTTTTTGGCCATAAGCATGTAATACTTTTTTTTTTTACAAAAGTATTTCATTTTCACAAAATGAAAAGAGAAGTTTAAATGCCAAGGCTTCCCCTGGGAAATATTCCTAGACACAGATATCCCCCTTGAACCCACACTCAACTTCCCAGGAGGAAATTGGGACTCTCCAAACAATCACGGGCTGCCTTTGAAGAGGGATCCACCTGGCTCCTTGGATGTGTGCTCCATATTCTCAAGGGCACGATGTTCACCCCCATCCACGAGAAAGGACAAAGTATGTCGAGAAGAGATACTATTCCGTTTCTAACGCAGGGTGGGTTAAAGAGTGATCAATGACGACTGCAAACGCATTCTTTCAGGCAGCCTTGCAGACAAGATGCAGCTGGTGGTGCAAGGAGCCTCGTGCTGGTTGCCGAAAGCTAAGCCCACACCCGTCGTCTTCCACCTGGGGTTGCTGCCAATCCAACAGGACACGGCTCACCGCGTTGGACAGGGAAGCTTCCTACCCAGTCACGTAGAAGAATATTAAACGTTTTCATAATGTGTCCACACATGTTTTGCTTCTCCAAGAGATGACAGCTCAGACTTCAGAAACCGTGGTGACCTTATTTTGTGACTTTGTGTTCTCTTTGCTGAGCCGATGACCCACTTGCAAAGCAAAGGTGCAAATTGCAAGTGAACATCCCCAACAGCGGTTCCTTTTCTGTTTTTCACTCTGCTGGAAATCTGTTGAAATAAAGAGTGTCAACACAGCACCTCTCAGTGCGGGCTAACTGGATTGAACTGGACAGCGTTCTATTCATTGGAAATCATTAGGCAATTCAAGAGGGAAGAAAACGGAAGAGAAAAGAAAAACATCGCCCCATCACAAAAATAACTTGAGAATTGTGCAGTCTGCCAGCATATTGGATATTTGTGTTGAACTTGCTTTCAGTACTCGGCTAAATTTACCACACCCTACCTCCAAAGCCCTTGCTCCCTTCCTTTTGAATAGCAAAGTAATGAGAACTAGAAAAGCTTTTGTGTCTTTGGCAAAGTTGAATGTAACTGTTTCCACTAAATCCTGCAAAGGTGAGGATGCGAGAGGGAAATCCACCAATTCATTTCGCTTTTGTTACCTGTTCATGAAAAGCTACCTTCTGGGGGTGAGACCATGTTTGATACGAGATGCTGCCTGAACTCAGTATATTTGGCTGACAATATAATTTTAGTGAACAGATTATCAAATTGCTCAAATGCATATGGAACTACCATGGACCTTCACGCCGTAAGAACGGTTTCCCAAAGCAAATAATTTTGCTGTTGTTGTTTTGGTTTGGTTTGATTTTTTTGCAGATGGAGCCACCTGGTCTCAAGTTTCCTCCTGAGAAAACTCGCTTCCCCATTGAACACAATGCGCAGGTGTTCCAGGGAACTTCAGTGTGGGAGACTTTTACTGACGGTCCGCTAGCTGTCACACACTTTTCTTGCATCTTCATGTCGTGTTGCACACAGCTCTGTCCGGCTGACATCAACTTGGCTCCGCTGGGAAGAAGTCACTGCACAGGGAAGGGAGGGGCTGGCCAGGCTGCCCAGCTGGTAAGGGGCAGAGCTGGGATTCACAGCCGGGCTGTTCTGGCTCACATGCCCTCTCTGATGGGAAAGATCAAGGAGTGGCTCATAGCTTGAATCTGGCTTTCAAGGGGGCTGGCCAGACTTGGATGAGACATCCCTGAGGGAGGAGCCTTGGATTGGGGAGTGTTTTAGGAACCCACAATACAAGTGCATTTGAAGGGTGGGAGGTGGGGTTGCTGCTAGCCCAACAGCAGGTATGCAGGAACTGGGCTCTAGGGAGCCAGATTGCAAAATCCAGAAAGACCAAGGGGGACACCCCTGAGCTGACAGTCAGGGAGGACACCATGAAAGCCATGAATGTGGTGACTCAGAATCAGAGGAATCGGGGAAGAAGCAATGGGTAAAAATGACTGTCCTAATGGCAGGAGCTTCATCACAGGGACGTAGCTGTGGTCTAGACTTGGGTTCCAGAAGCAGCCTGTTTTGCTACTAAGCAGACAGCTCTTTTAGTTGTTATGCAAAGAGTGGGGAACAAAACACAGGTCTCTGTCCTTAAGAACCTGGAGCGCAATGAGAGAGAAAAGGAAAAAGGGAATCGGTGCCTAATGAGGATAATACTGTAGTTGCCTAATGCAGAGAGTAGTCTGGTGACGATGATGGTGTTTGCTCTTTTACAAAAGGTCATCGGGACAGGCCACAGATTGTGGGATGTTTGAGCAGAGACTTGAAAGAAGAGAGGGTGCAATTTGGGAACACATGGGAGAAGAGCTCTCCAAGAGAAGGAACAGCCATCTCCAAAGTACTTGGAGTGTCAGGAGTGTCCTAGCAAAGAGCTCAGGTCACAGGTGGGATCCCAGAAAGCAGCTTCCAAGATGGCAGTTGGCCTACCATCAGGGAGGGCTCTCGGGATCATGCTGTGGAAGAGAAAGGAGGAGAGGGAACCTCGACAGAGGAAGATGAGCTGTGAGAGTTCTAGTGAATGCCTGACAGCCACCCGGGAGCTCTGACGACAGGGTGGCCCTGCAGAGCTGTCGCTTGTTGGGGAGACGGCGCATTACCCACTGGTCGTGGCTGTCACGGGGGTGGGGGGTGGGGTGGGGGGGGTGTCGTGGCTGTAGGATGGGATGTCGAGGGAAGCAGCTCTCCCCACCAAGCCCATCCTTGGCCCCTGAGGGCCGTCAGCCAGAAGCACCCCTCAGTCCCTAAAGGTGATCTGGAAGTTCATGCTGGCGTGATTGGGGCAGAGTGTGTGGGGGGGGACAGAAGGTGAGCTCAGAAGGGGACTCAGAAGCCCTCATCGTCCACAGTAAGGACATGGGCTCTGTCCACATGTCGGGGGGCATCAAACACAGGAAGGCTAAACTCCAACTTGCATTTTCACCTGGTCACTCGGGCGCTATGACGGACAAGGGGAGAAGGAGGAAGGCCCTCTAGGAGGTAATCTGGGAAGAAGAGCTGATGATGGCGTAGGTCAGAGCGTCCCTGGTGGCGCTCAGGAACAGCCATTGGATTCCGGGTACTGTTTGAAGGTAGAGCAAATAGAATTTGCCAATTCCTTGGATGCGGGGTGTGAGGAAGAGGAAAAACAGGGCCAACTCCAGTGTCCCTCTGGAGCTGAAGGATGGAGCCATGATCACTGACATGGGGAAGACAGTGTGTATTTGTTCTCTGTTGCTGCTGTAACAAATCACCCAAAACCTAATGGCTTAAATAACATGAATTCATTCTTTGTGCTTCTGGAGGTCAGAAATCGAAAGTCAGGGTGTTGGCCAGGGTCTATTCCTTCTGGAGATTTCGGGGGAGAATCCATTTCTTTATCTTTTCTGGTTTCTAGACGCCAACCATACCTTGGCTCTTGCTCTTTTCTCCAACTTCAAAGCCCATCATCCCAACCTCTCATTCTGTTATCACACCTAATTTTTCTCCCTTAGACTCTGATCCTCCTGATCTGATAAAGACCCTCCAGGATGATCTGCTCATTCCTAAGATCCTCAAATAAATCACATCCATAAAGTCCCTTTTGCCACGTAAGGCAACATATTCATGGGTCCTGGGGATTGAGATGTAGACCTCTTCGGGCGTCGTGATTCGCCCTGTGCCGAGAGCTGGTTCTGCAAGGCAGGTGGAGAGCTCAGCTGTAGACGTGCCTTGTTACAGGTCCAAGTGGAGCCTTCAAGTTTGGAGTACCGAAGAGAGGTCACTACTGAAAAATGAGTTTGGCAGTATTCATGATTTCTCGAAAACCCAGTGACAATGATACCACCTCGCTGTAGCACAGGATGAGGAGTGTGAGGACGGAGCCCTAGAATATTCCAGTGATTGGCAACTGGAGAGATGAGGAGGAGCCACAAGGGTGACAAGAGAGGAGGGAGCAGAGGCATGGGGGGATGGTGGTCCAGAGGCCACTGGGAGGTCAGGATGGAGCTGAGCAGAGCCCATTGGGTTTGACCGTGAGCTTGACAGAAGAGGCTTGGGAGATGACAGTCTGATTAAAATGGAGTCGAGAGATGGGGGTAGAGTAGGAGACAATGGGTGTGGACAACTTTGTGAAGAGTTGTTGGAAAGAGGAGCAAAGAGATGAGACAGTAGTTGGAGGCCATCAAGTCAAGGTCTTCTAGGGCAGCTCTGGCTGAGCCAAATCCGTGGGTGCTACTATAGTTTGGATAAGGATCCTCTACGGCCCATTTGTCAAAGGCTGCTTCCTAGTGCCGGGCACTCCTGGAAAGCAGTGGAACTTCTAAGAAAGGAAACTGGTAGAAGATCTTCTGGTCATTAGGAGCATGCCATTGGAGGGATATTGGGACCCCAGGCTCTTCTTCTTCCTATTTTTTTGAATGTCCTGGCCATGAGGTAACCTCTCTTGCTACATGCTGCTGCCAGAATGAGCGGCTTTGCTCAGGCCCAAAAGCAACAGAGTCAACCAATCATAGCTGGAAACCTCCAAAACTGTGAGCCTAAGTAATCTTTTTTCTTTATAAGCTGCTTATCTCAGGTATTTGTTACAATAACAGGAAGCTGACTAACAGGTGGGTACAAAGGGCCCAATTGAAGGTGAGCGATTAGAGGTTTATCAGAAGGCTTAGCAAATCCTGGTGTGGTGAGTAGAGGGAGAGGAAGGGAGAAAAGGAGATGTGCTTCTGTTTATCCAATGAATCTCTCCCTCCAGATTTTATTTTATTTTATTTTGAGATGACATCTTTCTAATGTTGCCCACGCTGAGCTTGAACCCCTGGGCTCAAGTGATCCTCCCACCTAGCCTCCAGAGCATCTGGAACTGCAGGCACACACCACTGCACCTGGCACTAGTGAAGATTTTTAATGCAAAAAAAAATCTCCTCCAAATATAACTGTGTTGTGAGAATTTCCGTGTATCAGTTTTTCCAAAAACAGGCATAATTATGCTTTTAGTTCTCCATTCCATCTAATACAAAGCTAAGTGTAATTATATAACAGTTTCTTCAAAGCATCACCAACTCTTTTTTTAACTGAGGCCATCAGAACATGACTGTGGGATAACAGAATGGCATGTTGTTTTCAAGAGCTGAAACATGGAGCCGGAGAGTTATTTTCCAGATGTCACTGAACGAGTGTCCGGCTGAGCCTGGCCATGAAGCAAAGGGATAGGAATTCAGGGCCACAAGGCCAGGTGCTCTCAGGACCCCAGGGAAATACACATCAGGAGACAAAAGCAACAGTTTCAAGGTTTGGGGGAGGGCTTTGAGAAATTAAAGATCATGTGGTGGCGCACACCTGTAATCCCAGTGGCTCAGGAGGCTGAGGCGGGAGGATTGTGAGTTCAAAGCCAGCCTCAGGAACTTAGCAGGGTCATAGGCAATTTAGTGAGACCTTGTCTCAAAATAAAAATATAAAAAGTGCTGGGGATGTGGCTCAGTGGTTAAGCATCCCTGGGTTCAATCCCTGGTTCCCCCCAAAAAAATAAGAATATAAGCATCTCATTAAAGAAGGTGCTATTGAAGCCATTACAAATGCTTCCTGAGCAGAGCCAATAGTGTGGCAAAGCTTAACAGTAATGTAAGATTCTGTACCTTTCCAGGCCCGCTGTGATGAAGGTCTCTGGTGTGTCAGACTGTCCCTTCTCTGGGTCTCCGATGACCATTCTCAGAGACACCATGAGTGAAAGCCCCAGGCCACGTGGTCTCCATCCCTCTTACCCGGCTTGTTTTTCTGCGTGATCTCCTCTGACATTTGTCCACACTTGCCTGTCTATTGACCGACCTCCTCTTTCCCATGAGGACAGAGAACCTGTTTTGTGCACTGCTATATCTCCAGAACCTGGACGAATGCCTGATGGGTTCTAGAGGCTTGATCCTATCTGCCAACTGCCAGAGTGAATGAGCCGTCAGTCAATGTCAGCGTACAGGGAGGGGGAGGGCAAGTTGCCAGGCTGTCCACTTGGCCCCTCACAGCCCCGCCCAGCGCTCCCAGGCCTCCAGATAAGAAAAAGCCTCCTGACTTCACCTGACCTCCTTTCCCTTCTCTTTCTGGAGCTCAGGTGTGGTCTCCTGGCTTCTCCTCAGCTTTCTGGTTTTGGTGCACCTGCGGTCCCCGCTCTCCTCTCACCTTGGCCAGGCTCTGACTTTCTGGTCCATCTTGGATTAAAGCAGTCCCATAGCAGGCATCCTGTCCACACACTGCCCTCTCCAGCTGCTGCTCTCCTTTGGCTCTGGGCTGCCCACTGGAGCCTCAGTCCCCCGCTTTATAGGTCAGAGCGTTTCAGCAGCGCCATATGCAATTCCTGGACAGATGCTCTCCTGCTTGTTATTCATCCTGGGGGAAATGTCGTCAGAAAACTCACTCCTCACATTAAATGTAGGAGTCCCTGGGTATCTGTGGGGGATTGAGTCCAGGAACACCCCTAGGGATACCCAGATCCAAGGATGCTTATGCTGCTTCTGTGAAATGATGTAGGATTTGCATATATGTACATCCTTCCATCATACTTTAAATCATCTCTAGATTATTCATAATACCTCACACAATGCAAATGCTATGTAGATAGTTGTTATATTACATTGTTCAGGGAATTAGGACAAAACAAGTCTGTACATGCTCAGTACAGGTGCAAAATGTTTTTGATCGTTTCAATTCATGGTTGTTTGAATCTACAGATGCAGAATCCATGGATACGAAGGCCAGCTGGAGTGATCACCAAAGGTTTCCTGCAGATAAAATGTTCAGATAATCATTTCTCTTTGAGAAGCACTTTTGATGTGTTAGAGATGGCTCCCCAAACTTCCCATTGCTTTACGGAGAACTTTCTGTGTAGGATTTTAGCATCATTGAGCAGCTCAGGTATTCAACTGCAAAAGGAGTGGAGAAAATGAGAGCACAGGGCGTCACCCTCTGAGGCTGTTCTGACAATAAGGTTTGTTTTCTTCACCATAATCAAGACAAGACATGGCTTGTACCTTCCTAAGAATGCCTGGCTCCAGGACCAAGCCAGGCACCCAGCTCTCCTGGGCCTGCTGGAGTCCCAACAGGTTTCCCCCCTCCCAGAGGCATCCAGGATTGACACACATCTTATGACTTGAGGCCCTGGGCTCATCCTTTGTTATAACATCCTTTGTTTCCTCCTTGACAACAACAGATACAACAAATACGAAGACCAGTGAAGGTGCCCTTGCAGTCACTGAGGAATTAGGGAGTCCCACTGTTAGATAGTAGCTAGCAATGAGCGATGACCTGCAGGCAAGGTCACAGGTGTTCTTTAAATTACTTTAGAGTCTTCTTTAAACTACTTCCAAAGTAAACAAGAAAGCAAAGTGTGATAGTCAATTTGTAGAAAAGAAACAGAAGCAAAAAGAGCTAATTGGGAAATATGTCAAGAGAAAGGATTCATGGGACTAACTCTTGACAGGGTCCACTGGTGTTGACGTGAAGCTGGGAATTATGGCTATAGGTGTCTCCATTTGTCTGGGGAGGAAGAATCCTCTCTCTCTCTCTCTCTCTCTCTCTCTCTCTCTCTCTCTCTCTCTCTCTGCTGGAACCTCTTGCAGCTAGGCACACTCTACCACTGGGCTACATCCCCAGCCCCTCTCTTCATTCTTGTATCTCCAGCTTACAGCGTGGTGCTTGGCACACAGAGATCTGATAAATATTGGTTGGATGAATGAATGAATAAATGAATAAATAAAATTGTAAGAATGATCTTTGGCAACAGATAGGTCCGCAACTTCAAGAGATACACAGGACCTCTCCAAGCCTCAGGAGTCCAGCCCGGGGTGTAAAACGAGGATGAGGACAATACTCCCCTCAAGGTTGTTTTCAGACATGAGATGAGAGTGACCAACCCGACACGCGAACACACTTGACACTCGAACACACTTGGCATCCGGCTCGTGGTACAAGCTCAATGCAGCGGCAGTCTTATTTCAGAGTTTCATCTATCTTCCTTGATCACAAATTCAGGATCCAAATAGAAGGAACTTCTATCTTTTATGTGTCTAGCACACTACAGTCTGGAATTACATAATTATTTGCTTTTAGTATCTGTAGGCATATGCTTCGTGATGAAAAATGGGATTTAGCTGTTAGGTAGAACTTGACGTAGGCAACACCATTTTGAAACATGTCCTTCATCTTGGGAAAGAGTCACCTCACAGTCACTGACTCAGCCTGACCTAAACCCCAGACATACTGCCTCACTCTGCAAAGAAACCCCAAACTCTCCATCCAAATTGTAGAAAGGAAATTGTTATCTGGGACTGAGGTCATAAAAACACCTAGTTCCTTATGAAGGTGACACCGCTGGGTCCTTAGGCCAAAGCAACTCCATTTTGAAAATCAGCACCCGGCCACCCAGACATGGCTTTCCTATTAGGACCCCAAAAGAGTCCCTAACTCCAGAAACCATAGCAAAAACCTCACAGGACCAGACGGGTTCTTTTTAACCACTTCCATTGTACTTGACTGTATAATTGAGAAGTTTTTTCCCAGCAGGCGGCTGCACCCTGCGGAAGGGCAGTCTAGCCAACATTCTCTGTCAATAAACCTTTGCTTGAACTCAGAGATGTGTCTCTGGTGGATATTTGCGCCAGCCACCTTAATAGCCAGCGCAAGGACACTTCCCTGACAGCCCCGTGGCCATGGCCTCCTCCCCCTCCCCCACTCCCTATGGTCTCGGTGTGCACTGGACCCCGCTCCACAGGTCTGTCCTGAATAACCCTGAGTTGAGCTGTTTCTCCTTTTTCTTTATTTCCTTCATTTGCTTCTTTCCTTACATTACACTTTCTAAAGTGGTTTATCAGTAATAAAGTGCTACCTTTTTTATGATTTTGTTTGGGTACTGGGGAGGGAGCTCCGTGGTAAAGTGCCTGCTGGGCTGCATCCTCAGCTCTTTTCATTTTTGAACTTTGAGACAGGGTCCTGCTAAAGTTTGGTAAATTGTTGAGGCTTGCCTCTTAAAATTTATGATCCTCCTACCTCAGCCTCTGGAGTTGCTGGGATTATAGGCGTGTACCACCATGCTCAGCTGTAATTTCAATTTGTGTATGGTTTGTGGATTGAACCCAAAGCCCTGTGCTCGCTAAGCATGCACCCTACCTGATGTCACTCCCGGGCATAACTCTATCAGACCGACAGAGTGGATAGGAAGAGGGTCTGAGGAGAAACCACGCGGGGGCTCAACTGCATGGGGGCTCTGGGGCTTATCGCAGAAAGCTAAGGGTTTGGGACAGGAAAAAGGATTTTTAGAGTTCCTTGTCCCAGTGGAGTTGATGGGGGAACTGGCTGAGATCCAGGATTGGCCAGGAGACCCTGCTGATTGACAGGTGGTTCCCTCGATGGTGCCCGTGCAGCTGCTTGGTGCTTTGTTCCTAAGTCACCGCCAGGGACCTGACACTTTCTTGTTGAAAATTTGCTAATTTCTTGACTGTAAACTACTGCTATCCAACCAAGAAGGATCTGATAAACAAATTCACATCAAAATGCTAATGGATGCTTTTTATTTGGGTGGGCTAAAATAAGGGTCTGGGTTTCACAGGCTTCATTTAGGGTGGGACAGGAGGGTAGTTCCTAAGGTTCATTGTACTGGGGTGAGCTGATCCATTAGCACCAACTGGAGAGTGGACCGTGACTTTCCTGAGGCTTATTGTTTTGGGGCCACCTGGCCCATGGGGAGTGGGGCCGGTGCCAGGCAGGCCCAAGTTCCTTGGTGCTCCTTCCTTCTGGCTGAGGCCTGGGGTTTTAAATGACAAAAGCTTCAGTTTTAGCCCAGGGCAGGTGGGGTAACAGCCGCAGGAAAGGGAGGTGTTCTTGGGACTTAATTCTCCATATCTTTCAGATGATACTTGTATTTTTGTAGTGCTGGCACTGCCTATAATCCCCACAGTGCGGGAGGCTGAGGCAGGAGGATTGGAGTTCAAAACCAGCCTCAGCAATTTAGCGAGGTTCTAAGCAACTCAGTGAGACTCTGTCTCACCATGAAATACAAAACAGTGAGAAACTGATGTGACTCCATTTTTGAGAAACCAGCCTCTACCTCAGAGCAAAGCCTGTCCAAGGAAGAGCGCATGACCCTTGTTCTTGGAAAGACCCACAGAGCACTCCTAGGCACATACCCACCCTGCTAAGTTGTTTATCTACAAATAACAGGAGAGATCTGCTGCACCAGGTGCCCCTGACTCAGTCAGGCTAGGTGGGGACCCATAGCAACCCCCTAGCAGCCACCAATCAGCATGAGACAGGGAAATACCTGGGATGTCAGATAACCCTCCCAGTAGTTTATGGTGGTTGATAACATGTTGGGAAACCACGTAGTTCAGCACGTACTCACCTCGTGGCTTAAACCAATCAGTTCAAACGAATCCCCCTCTTGCACTGACCAATCACCCCTACCCAACTTGTTCCCGCCAGTGAATGTGCTAATCATGTTTTAGAGTTGTTATTTTATTTTCCCACAGTGTGTGATGATTTGCTAAGAGATGCTATGATGTAAATGAGGTCCCTGCCTTCCCCCAAAGAATGTATAAAACTGCTGCAAACCCTGGGCTCGGGCCTCTCAGCATCACCAGTTGCTATGTGTGCGTGTGGAGGACCGAGCTAGCTCGCAATAAACACCTTTTTGCTGCTTACATCGATCTCGGTCTCTGGTGGTCTTTTGGGGGTCCCGAATCCGAGCATAACAATAGGGCTGGGGATGTGGCTCCGTGGGCGAGTGGCCCTGAGTTCAATCCCTAGTGTCCCCCCACCACCACCACCAAAAAAAAAAGAAGTAGTGTTAGGGATGGGGGTGTAGCTCAATGGAAATGTGTGCGTTTTGCATGCAGGAGGCCCTGGGTTCAACCCCTGGCTTTCAGGAGGGGGGAGTAGCGCTAATGGTGGAACTTTAGGTAGACAAGTGTAAACTGTAGGGTAGATATTTCCTGAGGCTTTGCTGTTTATAAATGACCCCTGGACAGGTAGCAGTGAGACGGGGTGGTGGTTAGAAATGCAGAATCTCAGGCCCTGCCCGGACCTACTATTCAGACTCTGTGTTTCAACAAAACCCTCATATTACTGAAAGCTCAGTTCTTGTCCCTGATGCCAATCCAATAATGAGGACATGATTTTGAGAAAAAGGAAAAAAAAGTCTTATTGCTTTGCTAGCAAAGGAGAAGGCCAGGGGACTCCTGTCCCAGAGGCTGTAGTTCTTCTGTCCATCGGGGAACAAGGGGTTTTAAGGAGGTGATTCAAAGGCTACCTTCCACGTGTTCTCGGGCTAGATTTGTACTTCCCTTGTTATCTTGGAAGGCAGTCATTTCTGAGATCTTCCGGTGCCACCCTCAAGTCTCTCTCAGACTTTTGTTCCTGGCATGGGTGTGTGCTCAAGCACAGCCAGGATGGCCCAGAGAATCCAGACGTGTTAACACTATCCATTTCATCTGTATGGAAAACACGCTCTAAAAATTAGGGAGAGGCTGCCAAAGCAAAGTAGTGCCCGCCTGTCCTCCCAGCGGCTCTGGAGGCCAAGGCAAGAGTTCAAAGCCAGACTCAGCAACTTAGCAAGGCCCTAAGCAACTCAGCAAGACCCTGTCTCAAAATAACATATAAAAAAGGACTGGGGATGTGGCTCACTGGTTGATCACCCCTGGGTTCAATCCCTATACCAAAAAGAAAAGAAAGAAATTAGGAAATTAGGGAGGCTCTATGTCTATGGCTGCAGGCAAATTTCCTACAGGTGCAACACCTGTTTTTCACTTTCTCTTTTCCCTCTGCTCCCACCTGATCTACTCCAGCTGGCTAACCTTGCCAAGTGTTCCCCCACACAACAAGCTCCGTGCTAATTTGCCCCACAGAAACACACCTCCGCTGAGGGCCACCAGTGGTGACTAGGAGGAGCCCATTGATCTATTTTTACATTTGTATGGTTCATTTCTAATAAAAATAGCTTAAGATCAATCTGCTGCTGGTGGGCTCCATTTTCATAATAAAGGAAGCAAACTCAGTGGCTGCCCTTCTAATAACTCCCTTCTTAGGTCAAAAGGACCCCCTCTGGAGTTGGCTAATCCATCCAATCCTGCACAGACGGGTTGATCTTTTTTGTTTTGTTTTCTGGCCCTGGAGATCAAACTCAGGTCCTTGTAGATAGACTCTACCACTGACCCACATCCCCAGCCCCTGAACTGGTTAATCTTACTGGGAAGCAATACCTTCTTGTAAATCGGAGAAGATAAAGCTAAAACAAATGCCAAGAATGTTTTATCTGATATAAGGAGGCTGATTCACAGTGGGGTAAGGAGAGGGAGCATGGGAGGAATAGATGAACTCTAGATAGGGCAGAGGGGTGGGAGGGGAGGAGGCAAGGGGTTAGCAATGATGGTGGAATGGAGGCTGAGGCAGGAGGATCTTAGTGAGGCCCTATTATTATTATCCAAAGTCCATGTATAAAGACACGAATTGGTGTGAAGATAGTTTGTACACAACCAGAGATATGAAAAATTGTGCACTATATGTGTAATAAGAATTGTAATGCATTCCACTGTCCTATATAAAAAATTGATAAAATAAAAAATACCTTCCTGTATAAAATACATTTTATTCACAGAGTAGTATTGAGATAGGGATTTAGGATAAAGAGAGAAAAATACTGAATCTTAAAGGAAATACCCACAAGCCACAGCAATGCAGAAAGTACAGTGGCCCACCCTGAGCAGAACACCCTTGACCTGTGTCCTTGGAAAATGAGGCAAATTACACAAGTGCAGGAAACTGGTGAGAAATTGTCCAGCTCCACCTGGCTCCACCTCCAGCCCGGCCCCTGATACAGCCCTTCTACAGACATTGGACCCCCAGCCCAAGGCAGGGCGGCTTCTCACTCTCCGGACAGCCTGCGTCCTCCCTTGAATGTGTATGTACTTTCCTAAATAAACCTCTGTCTGGCTCGTGCCAAAATTCTTTTCCATCCTGGATGCCAAGAACCCCCCTGGTCCTGAGTCCAGTTCCCCACCTCCTCCGGGAACTGCTTGGCCCCTCTCCAGAGACTTCTCCTCTCTGGGGACATCTCGAACTGGTTTGTCTTCCTCACCCCTTCATCCACGAGAAAACAGAAAAAGCCAAATTACTAGAATTGGGTGCCATTCTACAACAGCCAAAACAAACTATTTTTGTTTAGATTTTAAACAAAAATAAACCACTTTAAATAAACAAAAGTAAACCAGGGTGGCAAATCACACCTGAGAAACACAAATCTTCTCTGGAAAATACAGGCCTCAACTAATTACCAGAAAATGATTTCCAAGGAATATGAGCTCCCAACAAACATATCTCAGAAAACATCCTATAAGCATAGAGCTAGAAACCCTGAATAATATTATTTTTTTGGCAGGGGCGGGGTGGAGGGTGGGGGTGGGTGTCGGTTACTGGAGATTGAACTCAGGGGCACTCAGCCCGTGAGCCACAGCCCCACTGAGCCACAGCCCCAGCCCTATTTAGAGACAGAGTCTCACTGAGTTGCTTAGCGCCTTGCTTTTGCTGAGGCCGACTTTGAACTCCTGGCCTCAGCCTCCCGAGCCTCTGGGATTACAGGCATGTTCCACTTTGCCCGGCCTGAATAATATTCTTTTAATGAAAACATATTGATCTATAGATTCAATGTGATCCTTACCAAAACCTCAGCAAACCTTTTTGAAGAAATTGACAAGTTGGTTCTAAGACCAATACAGAATTGCTAAGTACATAGAAGAGCCAAGATTCTTGAAAAAGAAAGGCAAAGTTGAAAAAAATTGCATCAGCTGATTTCAATCCCGATTATAAAGCCAAAGTGATTAAGACAGTGTGACATTGGTATAAGGACAGATAGGCTAATGAACTAGAATAGAGAGTTCAGAAAACTCCCATATATGGTCACAGTGACCTCCTTCCTAACTGCTGGTTCCAAAGCACTCCCACCCACATCTTTCCTGGTTCCTGGTGGCACCCAACACTGTTCACCTCTCTGATCTCCTGGGGAGGCTGACTCTTCCCCTCTGAGATGCCACTCTATCTGCATTTCCCAGATGCCCCATCTCAGCCTCCTTTTCTCTGTTACAGGCTTCGGTGGTCAGCAAGCACTTTCTGTAAAGGGTCAGACAGTAAATGTTTTAGGCTTTCTGGGTCCCGGCTCCCCTCCACAGGTATCCTTCTTTGTTTGTGTGTTTCTCAGGATGCTTTAATCCCTTTGGAATGTAGCAGCCACTCTAGTTGACCACTGAGGTGAGGCTTCAGGCCTGTGGTGGCCCTTCTTCTCACTCTCCCACCCACCTGGAACCCAGCCGCCTAAAAAGCAATGTCCTTCCCATGAATGGATCGTTCCATTTTTTTTTTTTTAATTCTAACAAAAATCTTAGTTGTACAGGGGCTGGGTGGTGGCTCAGTGGTAGAGCACTTGCCTAGCATGCGTGAGGCACTGGGTTCAATTCTCAGCACCACATATAAATAAATAAAATAAAGGTCCATTGACAACTAAAAAATATTATAAAGAATCTTAGTTGGACAAAAGAAATATTCGTAAAATAACAAATGTTGACCATTTTTAAGCATATTAAGGGATTCTCAATTTCACACCCAAGGGAAGAAAAGTCAGGCAGAACCACAAGATGTGATTTTTAAAATTTTCTTCTTTTTTGGTATCATGGATTGAACCCAGGGGTGCTTAACCACTGAACCACATTCCCAGTCCTTTTTTTTAAATTTTGAGACAGGGTCTTGCTAAGGGTCTCACTAAGTTGCTAGGCTGGTTTTGAACATGTGATCCTCCTGCCTCAGCCTCCTGAACTGCTGGGATTATAGGCGTGGGCCACCTGTCCGGCTGGATCCCATACATTTAATCGCTTCTTAAAATGAGTCTCACCCCTGTGTGCGCGCCTACGCCTACCTACACAGACCTCCTTATCACCATTTGGAGCCTAAATTGAAAGCTCTAAAATAATTGAGATGCATCTTCTGAGACAGGGAGCATGACCTGAGGGATCAGTGCTAGACCGGGGAGGAGGCCCGGATTCAAGTTCCAGTTCTGGCAGTGGCCATAAGACCCTCGGACCCACACCGAACCCTGGGGCTGTTTGCTCATCAGCCAAGGATGGTGTAGGATTACACAGCATTTAAGGTCCCTTTGACCTCCACTGTTCCACCTATTTCTGTCTATCCATCTACGTATCTATGCACCTATCTACCCATTAATGTTATTGGTGATTGACCTTTTTTTATTTTATTTAGATGTTGATGAACCTTTGTTTTATTCACTTATTTATATGCGGTGCTGAGAATCAAACCCAGTGCCTCACACATGCTAGGCAAGCACTCTGCCACTAAGCCACAACCCCAGCCCCATGATGTTAACAATTTTAAGGGGAGTAAAAATAGTCTATGCATAAGGAAATTATTCTAATGATATGAAAGAATACACCTCTCACCCATGAAGCACAGGGCTCCAGCTTCTGCCCCCCACAGCAACTCCAACCATCCCGTTGTATGTATGTATGTTGCCTCTCCTGCCTTCTTCCATGGAACCATCTAGAAATAGATCTGCTGGGTGATATGCTATGTGCATTTTACATTTTAATAGATAGGGATAAACTGTCCATCAAAGAGGACAACACAGTTCTCCAATTTTTCA